GGTACGATTTGTGTGGCGTTCGGTTGGGATCTTGAAATAGCTAGGAAACTCCACATTTCGTTAATTTTTGTGACTCACAGTGTAAGGCGCGCCATGAAGATAAAGAATGATTCACATGTTGGGATCATCTACCATCTCGAGCCAATGACAAGTGTGGATTTGTACATAGACAATGAGGATATCACTAACCAAGAAGATGGGAACAATGATTATGGTGGAACTTTCTTTGAACAAGATGATCACATGGATGAGGATGAACAAAATGGTCCAAGGCAAGAACAAGCAAGTACTTCACGGGTTCATGAAGAAGATGGTGGAACTTTCTTGCACACGACGATGACATGGATGGGGATGATTCCGACTACGTTGCTCCAAGCGAAAGCTCGGAAGCACGCGATCCCTCTTCGAGTAGTGATGATGAGGAAAGTGATGATAAAGAATTGGTGAATGAAGAAAGGGAACTAAATCCATTTCTCGGGCACCATGTGTATAAGGAAATGGGTGAATGGAATGCCTCGCGTGTTTACAAGGATGATCTTGATTTAAAATATGTGGGACGAGACTCCCGAAGGGATGGGCATTAAAGTTTGTTTCAAGTCCCAGGGAGAAGCGAAACATGCCGTGAAGTTGTGGAACATCCACAATAGAAGGGAGTTAAATGTTATCGCGAGTAACCCTAAGACGTGGGCGGTTCGATGTAGGACATTAGATTTCCCCCTGAAGATGGCAAACCTATATGCAAATAGAGGATCCTCGTATCACTAGGAAAGCATGGCTTGCATCAAATAGTGAAATGGCAGTCCGCACAAAATTGCATGGGGGTGGTTAACGATAATGACAACCGTTGTGCAGACCTGGCGTTTATTGCTAGACTAATCATGAGAAGGATTGCGAACAACATGGATTACACGGTAAAATCGGTGCAAAAAGATGTGAAGGAGTTGGTAAAAGTTGATGTCCCCTACAAAAGGGCGTGGAACGGGAGGAGGAAAGCCATAGAGCCGGTTTATGGCGATTGATCCTCCAATCTTGAAGATCTTCCTAGGTAAATTTCAATTTTGATATATGTCAATTAATTTGTTTTAGTTTTTACTTGTACTGGCATATATTAACTCAGACAAACTTAATGTGTAGGTATATTGAAGCACTTAAGAGTACTAATCCCGAAACTGTAGTGGAATGGGAATGGAAGGAGAGAGAAGAAGGTTGGAACATGTGAAGTAGGACTTTTAAATGCGTGTTTTGGTCATTTGCACCAGTGGCTGCGACTTTCCTTGAATGTTCACCGGTGATTTCTGTTGTTAGAACACACCTACGTGGGAGATACAAGGGTAAGTTGCTAGTTACTGTGGTGTATACCGCAAGTAAAACATTTTACCAGTTGCATTCGCCGTGGTTGATGAAAAAACTACTGAAAGTTGGGGATTTTCATGAAACACTTGAGGTATCATGTTGTGGGTGATGACAAAGTTAGTGTGATTTCCGACCGGAAAGCTAGGCTTTTGAGGGCAATGTCGGAAATACCAGAATGGATCAATTTAGGTGATGGGGCCCACATGTATTGCCTCCGACACGTTCGGAGCAATCTAGTGTCAAAGTATAGGAGTGCGAGAGTGAAGCGGTATACCAAAATATGGGGAATATGCTTAATTTGGAAAAATTCAAACGATTGAGGCTAGAGCTCTGCGAATTCAAACCTAAAGCATGGGAGTATCTTCGTGACATACGGGGGTGTAACTGGCATCGTTTGAAAGCCGGGCGTCATCGTTGGGGCATCACAACTACCAACATTGCTGAGAGTTACAATAATGTCGTAAAAGGGATCCGGTTTTTGCCCATTAGAGCTATGATCGATACTACATTCCACAAAATCGTGAAATTTTACCAAACCGAATTGTTATTGGCGACAAGTTGTGATACGCCTATCCCCCCTGAGTTATGGAAAATCTACGAAAAGAAGAACGACAAAGCCGCCACCTATGATGCTGAACCCTACGATGGCGACGATGCTAGTTGGGAGGTGGTAACTCCGACACGGCCAAGTGGGAGGGTTGGGACGGTGTATACGGTCACCTATAATGCCAAAAGGTGTTTGTGCAACAAAGGCAAGAGTACCAGATGCCATGTACGCACGCACTTGCCATCGCACGTAAAAAAAGTGATCGGCATGTTTCTCTATACCATAAGTGTTGGAAGCATCAAACATGGATCAAACAATTCGAATACAATGGTTTTTCACCGGTGCCTGATGAGCGACAATGGTCTATTGTTGACTGGAAACTCTATCCGAATTACGAGAAGCTCGTGCAAAATGGCGGTCTGGGTAGACACCGAAGAAGGAAACACAAGATGCAAATGGATTACCGTGCTCGGCGGGCAAGTGGTGCTTGTTGGAGATGCGGAGGAGCTCACGATCCCAATTCATATCCTCACTCGCATTCTCAAGTAGATAGAATACCTTTGGTGGACGAATGGGAGCATCAAAGTGATTAGTTTGTTGTCGTATTTTGAATTGTAATCTTTGGGATTGAATCCGTATCTTATTTGATGTTTGGATTGAACTATTAATGTACTAGCATAATGCATAGTGTGGTGCTTTGAGTGTGGTGAAAATTGATGAATGTTTACAGGTTTATGGAATTGGTAATACAAAATTTACCATTTTTCAAATTTGTAAAACTTTTGGATTTGTCAAATCCGAGGGTTACCAAATGGAGCATTTTGTATATTTTTTGGATTACCCAGATCCGAAATGTACCAAATTGGATATCGATGGCTCTCAGATTTGTGTAATCCGAAAGTAATACAAAAGGAGAGGACACAGATTTCGGTAATCCGAGAGTCGCTGCAGTCGACAAAAGCATTCGAGAGTGGTTTTTTATCAGAGAGATAGGGGAGACTCGGATTTGCGTAATCCGAGCCTTCCTCTCTCGGATTTGAGTAATCCGATTCAGTCGGGGGTATAAAAAGGATTGATCTTTTTCCCCCAATTCATTTTCAGACTTCCCCCCTTATTTCTCCAGTCCACCGCCGCAACCACCATCCTCCACCACTCACTCCACCCCTGTCCATCAAATCCACCGCCGCCGCCGTTCCCCCATCACCAAATCCACCCTCCTCCACCACTCACTCCGCTCTGTGCACTCCACCAACACCACCGCCGCTTCCGCTGCCATGACCACCCTCCTTCAACACTACCGCCGCCTCCACTGCACTCTACTGCCGCTACCGTCATCCTCCCCCCTCTCCACCACTGCCTCCGGTGTCATTTCCAATAGAAAGGTAACAACCTCCGCCCCAATTTAATTTTACCCTAATTTTGCCCCAATTTAATTTTTCCCTAATTTTTTTTTTTGAATTGTTGCTCCTGATAGTATTTGGAATGATTAATATGTTCGGATTTGTTGTTATTGTACATAATTTATTGACGCGATGGTGATTATTTTTCTCCCCCCCTAAATGTTGGAATTGGGTAATCCGAGGGATTATTTTTATAGTATTTTAATTGAAAGTGTTGGAATTGGGTAATCCGAGGGGTTTTTTTGCTCGCTAAATGTTGGAATTAGGTAAATGCTGGATGGTGATTATTTTTTTTTCCTCCCTAAATGTTGGAATTGGATATATAAGTTCAGATTGAATTTTTTGTCAAAATTGAAAGTTTTGAGTTTGGTGATTATTTTGTGTTGAGTTTTAATTGAAAGATTTGAGTTTAGGTATTGAGCACTATTTATTTGGAATTGATTTTTTTGGTGGCGTAGGTATTCATGTCGAATCCATCTGGTTCACAATATAAAAACAAGTATGTTCAACCGGGTCCTATTAAAGATAAACTCTTGTATCTTCAACATGAACACCGTAATTTAGCAGTGTACTATGGCTCCAACCCCTCGATGAAGACCGAACCTTTGAAAGGGCGTAGGTTTGACCTAAAGTCTCGGGAATGTTATTATGGTAATACTATCTCTCCGGAAGTACGATCGCTCATGGGAACCGCCGGGTTCGAAGGAGTATTGAAAATAGGCAACAAAAAGTCTGATAATTGTCTTATCACCGCATTGGTGGAACGATGGAGACCAGAGACACACACTTTTCACTTCTCATTCGGAGAGGCTACCGTGACGTTGCAGGATGTGGAGGCCCTGTTTGGTCTCCAGGTCGATGGGGACATGGTTTTTGTTCCAAAAATAACACCTTTGAATTTTTTGTATTGAAAGGTGGAATTACAACTACTCTTACAAGGATGTCCCAAGGACTAGTCTCCCAGGTTTTAGAGATCAATTAACTGCCTGATGTGCAACCGACGTAAGCATGAATAACTTTATTTTTTTTATTATTTCTTTTTACATTTTTGGCCACCATTCTTATGTGAATTAATTCGTTACTTTCTTATGTTTTCGCAGTTTCTTTGGCAACCCTACGAGGATCTCCTTCCATCCCTCTCTGATTGTTATAAACAAGGTAGTAACATTTGGATGACAAATCGTGGATGTTATATATTGGGCAGTCCGAGAACCCCGCGAAATTGACAGGGTCGTGAGACAGTTTGGCTATATTCAAGAAATTCTCCGAACTCCTATAATTGCAAATATCCAAGAGAATAGGTTGGCTCATGAACACAACATGTCAGGACTAACCGAGAAAAACTGGGTGGATCACCATCAAAATGCACACCGTCATTGGAATAGGAGAACCCGACACCTTACTAGGAATTTCGTGGAAGGAGAGCCCGGCCAAACTTCGGAGGACTACGACGAGTGGTTCAACAACAATTCGGTGAAATTGATATCCGATCCGAGTAATTATACACCAGTCGGATATGAGCCTTTATTGACCGGGTGAAAGTATATGTAAGTGTTTATTTACAATTAATAGTTTTATATTAATCTATTTCTCCAAATTGCTAATTATACTGTTTTATTAATAGTGTTTATTCACAATTAATAGTTTATTTTAATCTATTTCTTCAGGATGAAGTGTTGAACAATATTCGCATTAAGACCATGACATTCCGAGAAGACTGTTGTCAGGTCGGTGACCTAAATATCGACCTCGAAAATGTGCTCAGTGAGATCGAAGATCAAACTCACGCGGCTTTAACTCTTGGCAAAAATGATGAGATGGATATTGAGGATACCCAAATCCTAAAGGATTTTGAACTCTCTCAACCCAAACTACCTCCCCACGGTGAAACAATGAAACCGTGGCCGAAAGACAAAATTGGCGGAGGAAGAAAGCGAAAGATGGGGAATCCACTCAGGCCTTCTCAATCGCAGTATCACGTGGAAGGTTCGAGCCACCAAAAGCAAGAGAATGTGAGAGGAGGGGAGGAAATGGGAGGAGAGAATGTGGGGAGAGGGGAGGATGTGGGAGAAGAGAATGTGCGAGGAGGGGAGGATGTTGGTTCTTCGAGAGGATCTCACACCCGATACGAAGAAGAGCCACTTCTCACCATTACATTAGGAGAAGACTCGCAAGTTCTAAACTTGATCCCACTTGAGACAATTAGGCCAGAACCAGAGGAACCAATTATTCGCAAATCCGACAGGTCGCGCAACGTGCCGAAGAATTATACCCCGCCAACTATTCCTAAGAGAGGGAAAAAATGATTTAGATTAGTATTTTTTAGGTTCTTGGATGATTTTCTATGTAAGTTATGAATTTTAGAATATTTTCCATTTGAATATTATGAGAATCTATTTGTTTTATTATTGGTTCTTTTCTCTGATTTATTATGTTGTTGGTGCTGTTTTAACAGGTTTAGGACTGGTGAAAACCAGCCCAATATTTCTTTGCCATTATATGGTAAACCTCGGATTTGGAAAATCCGAGACCTACCATTTTGTAAAGAATTCGGATTTCGTGAATCCGAGAGCGTGAGCAGAAAAATGCATCCGGGAGCTACATTTTATCTGTGAAGCAGGGGAGACTCGGATTTGGAAAATACGAGACCTCCGGACTCGGAAAACCGAAATCCGAATGTACTTGTTTCGGATTTCTAGAATCCAAGAGTTTGTGTAGAAACAAACCACACGGGACTCGCATTTTATCAGGGAAAAAGGGAGACTCAGATTTGCGTAATCCGAGACTCTTCCTTTTCATTTTCAACACTTAGATTTTTTCCCAAAAAATAAAATATATTTTATTCCCCAGCCGCGGATTACGGGAATCCGAGAGGATCAGTCTCAGATTACCCTAGTCCGTTTCTAGTCAACTTTTATTTTCAAATACTTAGGATTTTCTCACAAAAATTGAATTATTTTTTAATTGCATGCTTTCGGATTATGTAAATCCGAGACCTTGTTAATTTTAATTAATCATTTGATTAAATTTAAATAACTTTTTGTTAACATTGTCTCGGATTACGTTTATCCGGGTTTACGTTATTTCGAATTTGCCAAATCCGACTGCTTGTTTGTTTCGGATTTGGCAAATCCGTAACGACTATTTCTATCCACTTCATTTTGCTTCCTATTATTTTTATCCAGATTCTTCCTAATAATTTTTTCTGTAGAAAATTCATTGATCTAGCAGCGCTCATGGCTAATTTCACTAATTACCGATTTCTACTCGTTTAAAATTATTCACCTACCTTATTACTGATTGGTTCACAAACATAAATCTACTAATTTGCTACGAGTAAACCCCTATTAATTAGCCATCATCAATTCCAAATTTTCATTTTAAGTGGACTAACTAATTTTGTTCTTCCAATCTAACTCTCAATTATTCATGTTGTTAACATCCGAATAAAAAAAATTTTCATATTGTATAGTTTTAACATTTTGTATTGGTCTCTAGATGGAATAACTAATTTTGTCGTCTCTTTAAAACTCAGTGAAAACTTTGGGCATCACGTACGGATCTCTTAAAACCTGAGACACTTTGGATAGTAAATGTCCAACATTGATTGCGTTGAAGTTAGGGTTTCTCTGTAGCTCCCCATACATAGTAGCTTCCCTAACCTTGCATTCAGTCAGTAATTGGCAAACATTGGAGACTCCAATGTGAATATCCAATTAGTCATATTCGTACTACACGACGGGTGAATTATACTACGCTAATTCTATTGCTCTGGAACTCAATTGGTTCATAATTCACTTTTTTCTAATTGAATGCAACACAAACTGTTTAACAATCAAATGAATAATTCACTTTCCGCCTGAGTTTTTATTTTTTTCAAAATACTCCCATGATAATTAACAAAAAACGTTATACTTTTATTATATACTCCCATCATATAACGAACAAAAGCATTTGTCCAACACAATATGCACTCTTTTTAAAAAAAAAAAAAAAACATAACATAGTAAAAATACATTTTAAAAAACCATTATATTTTTTGCACCTTACAAAAATTGTTTTATTATGCCATTAAATTCACGAATCCAACAAATCATATATATCATAATCTCCATAAATTTTAGAAAATCTCCATAAATTTGGAAGTCATATTACTCATTCGGCTAACATTTATGATTTTGTATCCTAATAATCAACTTGTTTTAATGTGCATAATACTTGCCAAAAGGGGTTGCCCAAGGCATTCAACCCGGAGATCCCGGGTTCAAAACTCCACGACAGTAAAATGTTGTCTTTCTTTGCAGGTTGCAGTTGGAACCTCTTCTAACATTCGATAGACACGCGGAAAGAGACTTTGCAGGCGTGGAGTCGTCTCCCACTAGACTAGGCTAATAGTGGGTCCCCCTCCCCCAGACTCACACATGTAATACCCTCTAGGTGTTTGTAAGAATTGTATGTGCATAATACAGACTCACACATATAATAGCCTCTAGGTGCTTGTAAGAATTTTATAAAAAACAATGTGCATAATACTTGTAGATAGGAATTTTCACAATCAAATAAATTAGTATGTATTTATTTACCTTGATCAAACCACATACTCTCACTTTCGAATCTAGATCATAGGGATAGAACTTCTTTAGTTAATCCACTCTTTTGGATTTCAAAATTCAAAAGAATTAAACAATCCGGTTTTTCTCCAAACCCAAACTAAAAGGTTTTATTATCCAAAATTTTCTAACAATTCTAAATCAGCTATAAATGCATGAGTTGTAGTTCGAATCAGTGCACACACCAAAAAACGATCGCACCCATATCTGTCTTTTAGTAATGACTTTCAAAATTAATTTTCTCAACGAACTCAATAATGGCTGAGGTGTTGGACAATCACTTGAAAACGTTGGTTTGTACTTGAGAGCTGTTCATTGTCCTATCTCGAGTGAAATCTATAAAAGGACTAAAAGTCCTCACTTGTAATAAGAATGGGAAATTCAGTAACCGTACAACAAACATAGTCTATAAAGAAGCATTAGAAAGGTGTATTTTTCTTGGTTGCACTATGATTCCTCTTTTTTCATCCCTGCCAAAAAATTTTAATTACATTTACAAAACAATGAATCATTATTATTCATCCATGCAATTATTCAGCTATACTTTGAAGTTTATTACTTCTTTACTTTTTCCCTCTGTAATAAAAGTTTCATTTTTATGTTAATAATATCCAGAATACTTTGAGTCTTAACAATCCAATTAACGTGATTGACTAAAACATTTTTCAATTGAAAAATTTCTACCATCACTTATGTTGAAATATTTTCATAACTTGGGCAACGCATGGGTCCATCACTAGTATAAATACAACGGACAAATGTACGATGAGAGAGATGTTGCAGACTAATGGATACACAGAGTGATTCATATTTAAATAGGGGCATTACCCTACACAAAATCAAAACTAAGATAAAAATTATGTCCAAAGTGATCTACTCGCCATATTAACACCTCATTCTGTATATAGATTTTCACAGAAGATCTACTCGAAAACTTACTGCCATACTAAAACCTCATTCCGTATTTAGATTAAACGTTTTTATTTGGGTAACTGTTGTGGATTATCGGCCATCATAGTTAGGTGGGGAAAAAAAGAGCCATATGGATAGAGAAGAATGATGTATTTACATGAAAATAATTTACAAGAAAAGTAATAAAGAATGATATTTATTCCATTTATTCATTTTTGTACATTTTATTTGGAATTTATGTATTTAAAATTAGGAGAATAATTTAGATTAGAGCCATGTCATTCCTTTTTTTTATTTTTCTATTTATGTATCACAACTCATATACAAAACTGAGTGCAAGCTATTAGTAATCGATATGTGACAAATTTTTTTGAAAGGCTAATTACTTCTTTTTTTTAACTCAACAGGAAGGCAAAGGCGACATTCAGGTTCCAACTATCTCAAAAAAACTCAAGGGGTCTACCCAAGAGGTAAATTTTTGAGATAGGAGGTGCTATATAGCACAATGCACCCAAGGGGTCTACCCAAGGAATGGACATTTATACTATATAGTTCCCTAACTTCACCCTTCCCTGATTTTATTAAGATGTGAAAAAAAGAGGGCAGTGTGTATGTCTCACCCTTATACAAGGCAATGGAAGCTACTTTTGTAAATATGGAAAGTACAATTGATCTAATATCAAAAGCCATTTTACAAAGCTAGACAGTGATACAAAACTATTGTAAGTATTAGATATTCCACTTGATGCTTGTTTAGCTAAACAGTCTGCAACTGCATTGCCTTCCTTGTAAATATGAGAGACCGAGAAATTATTCCTTAAGATGACAGAACACATCTCAATCAACTTCAAATGAAAACGCCATGGAAAACCTCTCTTCTCATTCAGAATACAAGCCAGAGAATGATTATCGGTTTGTACCCTAACATTTGAAAGTTGTAGGAGCTCTCACCTGAGAAGTCCAAATAGAATACCAAAAATTTCTGCTTGGAAAAAATCTCCATCACCCAAGTATCCACTTTCTCCATAAATGAACTTACCATCTTCTCCCCGGATGACAAAACCATATCCTGCTCCATTAACATTAGATGCACCATCTGGTTGCTGCCTCCGTCGAAGGGACTCGAAAGCGGATTTGACCGTAAATTGCCCTTGAAGAGTATTTTGCCAAACAAGAATATCATCACCCTCCATAAAATCCATATCAAAATTTTCTAAAAAGGCAAAGTTTGCTGGAGTGAGGTAACCTTGTAAAGCCGGTAAATAAAGGTCTTTATTCTCTTGAAATTGTCGAATGCAAAGGTCCGGCCATGGAGGCTTATCAAATGCATTAACCCAAAAGACACCATTGGGGCCCCAATTATCATACCAAAAGGATCGATCACCATTCCGTACAATAATCTTAGAAAAAGTTATGGCTCGCTCACCAACTTTCATTACTCTAGCCCAAGAGGTCTTCTCCTTAGCCGAGTGAGACAAAGAGTGAAGAAAAGCGCTCCAAATGCCATTGTTGTTCTTCAATTTCCACCATAATTTAGAAGTAAGGGCAGAGATAACATCATCAAAGCTTCTCAATCCTAGGCCATTTTCTTGAACGGGAAAAGTGACTCTTTCCCAAGAGCGCCAATGCCTCTTCTTAACCTCGCTTGATTCATCCCAAAGAAACTTTTGGCAGCGAGCTTCCATAGCCCTAATGATCGACTTAGGTGGTGGGATTGCTGAAAAAACATGAAGCGGCATAGAACTCAAGACATACCGGATGAGCATGAGTCGGCCTCCCGGAGATAAAAACTTGTTTTTCCAATTCAGGAGCTTAGCATCCATAGCATCCAAGAGAAATTGGAATATAGCAGCTTTTTTCCTTCCATTAAAGATCCGGCATCCCAAATATGTGAAGGGAAAACGCCATGTTGCATTCCCAATGTTTCTTTGATCATTTCAATTCTTCTTGAACTACACTTTTCCTAAGCCACAAAGAGCTTTTACCCCTACTAATTTTCTGACCTGTAGCTTTTTCATATTGCTCAAAAAAAGAATTTAGCCTTCGTAAGGATCTTTGAGTCCCCTTCGTAAAATAATCAAATCATCTACAAAACACAAGTGTGAGACCACGAGTGAACCCGCAGGAGATCCATAAGGAGCAATCTTACCGTCCAGAACTAGAGCTTTCAATCTTCTAGTTAAGGCCTCCGAAACAATGATAAACAAGTAAGGCGACAACGGATCCCCTTGCTTAATTCCCCGGGAAGCTTTAAAAAAACCAGCAGGACTACCATCTATCAACACAGAAAACCAACTGTTGTGAAGGTTATTCATGACCAATTTTACAAAAAGTGGTGGAAAACCAAAATTCAGTAAAATAGATTCAAGGAAATTCCACTTCACCCTATCAAATGCTTTCATCATATCAATTTTCAAGACAATATTACCTCCCTCCGCCTTGTGATTTATGAACTGGCAAAGATCATGTGCCAACAGAACATTATCAATGATGTCCCTACCAGACAGAAAAGCTGATTGTTCCTCAGAAATAACTTTTGGTAACACCACCTTCAAACGCTCAGTCAAAATTTTGGTGAAAATCTTATTGATAAAATTGCAAAGACTAATAGGGCGAAAGTCTGAAAAAGTACTTCCAGTCTGCTTTTTTGGGAGCAAGGTAATCAAAGTGCTAGCAATAGCTCATGGAATTGATACCCCCAAGCATGAATTCCTTGCATGCGGACCAAAGATCATCCGAGATGATATTCCAACAGCTTTGGTAAAAAGCACCAGTGTATCCGTCAACTCCCGGAGCACTTTCTTCATTCAGATTAAAGACCGCTTCTTTGACTTTCTCAAGTTAAAGGCTACTTACCTAACTAATAAGGTTTTTTTTTAATTATCTTATTAAGTTTACTTTTTTTAACGATGCCTAACCCAACTAATGCTGATAATTGATAACTATTATGATTGGACAGCTCCTAATTGAAATGAAGCTACACAAACTTGTACTAGATCTTTCGCATTCCGAATTGAAATGAAACTATTCAAGCTCAAGTGTTTTTCACATTCCGAAACAGAAAACTCGGAAATTAATGATGAAACCATTCAAGCTTGTTTGTTCTCCTCATCCCTGAAAAGAAAATAGATTTAGTGGGAGGCGGAATGGAATTGGATAGAGTAAATCTTTAATATAACGGCTCCATCATGTCAGTTTGTGCTGCCTAATATAATTAGAGAGAGAGACCTACATGGGCCAAAAACACTAATTGTTATTTCCTACTCGTACTAAAAAAAGTGCATACATCTCCTCTATCGTAAAATTTTCAATACAGAGATGCTGATTTTATGTTCAAATCTTGAGTCCGAAATCTTGGTTGACGCAACCACAAAAACAATAGTAATTGGTGTAGAGTAGAAAGAAACGAAATTATGGGGCGAATTTCGCAAAGTGCTCTACATGTTATAAGAATAATAGGAAGACCGGATTTAGGAATTACATCAACCAGTAGATGCAATAATCAAATTTAGCCAATTTATGAAAAAATTAGAAAGGTAAAAAAAATAAACAATGATAAAACAAAATGAAACTCTATCAGCTGCCAGCTTCTAAATCAACGACGTCTTCTGTCTCCCCGTCCATCATCCCTGTATCTACTTCGGCCTCGGCCTCGGCCTCGGCCTCAGCCTCAGCCTCAGCATCGGCCTCAGCCTCGGCCTCGGCATCAGCATCTCCCATCTGTATTTCTTGGCCATCTGTATCCGAGTTTTGCTTCTGAGATTCATCAGGAGTAGCACCACCTTGAAAGGTAACAGCCCCCGCTGATGCATCATCTGCATCTATTGGTATTGCTGTTGACACTTCAAGATTGGTTTTGGACCCCACGGCGATAGTCTCGCTAGACAATTTAGCCACCTAATGCAAGGGTACCAAAAAGGAAATTCATTTTATGGATAACGAAATGCGAAGAATTTGTGAGAACTAAAATTAGCAATGAGCTGTGCACGAGTTCCAACCAAATTGAAAACAAAAGAAAACCAACACAAACTCAACCAAGTTGAAAACAAAAGAAAACCAACTCAATATATTTGAAGGTCAGTTTTTGGTAGAGCCAATTTGAACTGCCATCTATTCTTTGACGGCCCGTATTTGGTTCAACGTCGAAGGATTGCCTAACTTTTGGATCAAGAAAATAACTAAAACACAAATGCGATGACAGCAGAAGATGTTGATGGCAGCTGTGTATCTCTAGGAAGAAAGGAATGCACGAATATTCTCTAGTACTAAAAGTACTATAGAAGTGATCTTTAGAGTGATTCAACATGAAGTTGAAGTACAAGTGAAAGGTTGTATTGAACAGAACAAAACAGATACAAAGCAACAAAGTTTGGACCTTTTTCTTCATAGGGTTGATGAAAGTGAGATATAATGTCTTCGTTGAACAGAGACGTAAATATACTGTTTTTTCGGCAAAGAATATATTCACCCTTCGCCGAAAACAATATATATGATGAAGATTAGTAATAACAAGACAAAATGCATGCTCAGAACTCCACAACGTTAACTTTTTATCTTTGCATAGCAAACCTCCACTACATTTCTCTTCTTAGAGCATTTCTTTTACAGACACGCATTTTTGACTATCGCTGAACCCAAAATTAAGATATGTTACACATGTAGTCAACATAAGAAATAATCTGAAGTTCGACATAAAGAATAATCTGATGTTTGACAGGAAGGAAGAGATTCGATGATGCTAAATGGATGCAATAATTTGAATATTCAACAGGAATCTGGATACTTGATTTCCAGATGCTATAATAAATTGGCAATTCAAAGATACTCTTGTTTGTCTGAAGATAGTGAAGGGAATGGACAACAGATTGTTTTTATGGATTAAGATAGTTTAGTCGAAAGATATATTAAATTCAAATTTGAATGTAGAAAGTTGTAAGAAAGGTTTACTGGCGATATGAAAATTATAATCTTTAAAATGAGTAGTGCTTCATCAGAATGGGGAACACTGCTCTCTATTTCGTTGTACCAAGGACCCATATGAAAAATTTCTTGAAATAAAAGCACTACAAGTATTCTTCCAGCACCTAATTTGTCAGGTTACCGTACTCTTTGGAGAATTCAAACTTCTATGCCAAAATTTATTGAACAAAATTACAATAACATTCTTACCGTTTTTTCTTCGGGTAGGCCGGTGGTTTTTGTTTCTTCCTTCTTCAGACGCTTGGACCTATCCACGGTTTTAGCATGATATTTTGATCTCACATCAGGTGGTAGAAGATCCAAGGGAACTACACCCTCAATTCCATGTTCAGTAAACTGAATATGAGGTCCAAACTAGAATCAGCGTGCTGCAAATAAAAAGTCACAGAAGCTGTCTTAAAATTTAAGGTGTAAACAAAGTCATACCCTAGAAAAGCCCTCCAAGTCCTGTCGGGCCGAGAATCTTAGACCTTTCCAACAGTAGACCTGAATCCCAATCAAGGAAATATAGTCAGCAATTTATTTGAAGAAACTTCCTTGGTCTACCAACAGAAGCATTCTTCCAAATAACAGGCACAGGTATTTGGTTTCACAGGCCCGGTGACAAATCATGCAAGTAAACGCATGAGTAAAGTATATATATATGTAAATATATATGTATATATATGTATATACTTAATAATGAAACTATGATGTAAATGATTACTCAGGAGATCTCTTTAGCTCCCACCACAAAAAGCTATTTTGAATATGGTTCAGATTATAGTTAAAAACTTTCTGACGGTGAAACCATCAAGAGATGCCAAAATATAATCTAAAGCCAATTACTACAAAATAATAGGGAGAATAATAATAAAAAAAAAAAGACCTTATTGTTTTTGTGATGATATTCTGCTTCTATTCCAGCGGATTCATCCATCTACATTTTCAAAAGATACCCTTGAGATAATTTGAACCGAGAAAGACAAAAATGCTAACATGATAAGGAATAAAACAGCACAATGCTACAAAATTTTTCAACAGTTTAGAGAGCTGCAATGGGAGATGCTCACATCCTCAGCCAGGGATTTCCAGTATTCATTGATGTCAGGGGTTCGCACTCGCTGTGGATCAGTTAAAGCATTCTGCAAAATCATAAAGCATCAGTGTGATGTCACCTAGTTGACACTTTCCAGAGCTTTCCAATTTCGTTCAGTTTAAGAAGCAAAATTACTTACATATGGTATGACAAATAGAGAATTTTTACTTTTCCTAATTCTAACTGATATCCAAACCAGAAAGCAAACTGAAACAGAGAATAAATTTTCATTAAATTCATATGCTGACCAAAATTGCTTAATTTTAGGACTTCAGGGTTGACCCATCCAGGAAGAATAATAAAATGATCTACTTGGCTCCTTTCCTGAGCTGTAGGTACTGAATGAGTAGAATGGGAGATGAACTTTCTACTCACAGACATGCGAAGTTACCCAACAAGCGTAGAGTTCAAGAAAGAATCTTCCAGGGACACGTCACATGGGAACTCCTTATCAAACATCAATTAATATCCTGAAAGATAACTCATGCTTTCACTCGCCCCATGCTCTCTTCCCTTACAATACACAAACAAGCTATCCAATGCACAGGGAATAAAAAGTAAAGGTTCAAAACGGAGAGAAAATGCACACTAGAATATAAAGCATCTAATGATAAACCCTCTGATCAGTTAGTTTCAACTAATGCGGCGTCCATTTGCAATATCTACGTGATAATTTTCTTTGCCACCTTCATCCAAAGGCGAAACTTATAACTTTCCCACTTTCTTTCACCGGTACATAAATTCCAACCCCCACAATTCTTTGACTTCCTTTTTCTTATTCTATCTTTTAAAAGAACCGGTGTCTCATCACATTCCTTCATTTTAAACTCATAGCAAACATAGGTAACTGAAAGCTCAGCTATTTCTGAAGAACTTCCCACACCCCGAAGCTCAAACAACCCGAGCCAAACATAAAAGGATAAAAAATGGGATGCTCGTTTGAAAGTTAAACTAAATAGGTTATTACCAGTAAACCAGCAGAACTAGAAGCAAATTAGCTGATATTGCAGACTAATTAGGTTGTGACTTGTAAGAGATCAGTTAGATTGTAATCTGAATATCAAGCTCAGCTGAATACTGACACACAAATGACACTTGTTAGCTTGAATGACACTGATCTTTTCACTGGATGCGATTGTTATCAATTAAGATACCCTTCAACAATTTCTATGAAATTTTCATCATCAGAACCAACTAAATCTGGGATTCAAATTTCGGTTTAAGCAAACATTCAGCATCAAGAAGGGAAGAAATCAGGAAACTACGAAGGAAGTATCAAGAATACAAAATGAAATACAATACAATGAGTAATAAACACACCGGATTTTGATCGGCCCATTTCCACAACTGCGAAAGTTCTTTGTTTCCTAGTCTCCAGCGTGGACGACTGCCGTCATTATAATATAGAGAGGAAGGTTAACTTAGAACTGACTTAAGCAACGAATCATACATAATGGAACATTAACTTCACAAGAACATCTCAATGTACTAGTGGCGGTGCCAGCCATCAGTTTTCAGTAGGCCAGATTTATGTCTTGGTCTACAACATAAACTAAAACTATTTTCATGAGCAAGACTCCCAAGTAAGGACCTACCGTTTCTTCACGCCATCTTGAACTTGTTTTGTTTCATAAGGTTGCTTCTCAAATGGAGGACAGCCATCACGTTTCCACCATACCTTGATAAGTGGGAAGAAATTAAAAACAGAAACAGAGTCATACATTGTGGAAACAGATTACAAGTAGTGGCAGGAACTTATATATGAAACTAAAATATAGGCAATATATGCTCACCCAGTTCCTTTCACGTTCTAATATATGCTCAATACTTTCAAGAAAATCTTTTCCTTTGGGAGGGGTCATTTTAAGAAGCCTCTTAACCCTCTCTTCACAAGTTTTTATCTCTTCTTTCTACAAAAATAACCAAAAGAAAGTTGATGACATTCACAAACGTTATGCTCAACAGTAGGAAGTGTAACTAATAATAAGAAAAGCAGAAGTAAGATAAAGTAAAGTCAATCTGCATGCTTTGCAACTAGCTAATAAATGATGATCCAATATCTGACCAGACCCATCCAACAGACAGCATTTTATGTTGCAAACTAATTCGGAACGATATATTCTGTAGGCATGAAAATTGGGAAGTAAAACCATTAACAAAATTACTTTAAAGATGAAAATCGAAAGCACATTTCTCTTAATAAGATGTTACAAGACTAGTTCCATAACAGTAACACTATGTATAACATGTAGCCTATGCTAGAGTTTCTGTAACATGTAGCCATACATTTTCTTTGATTTACAATGAAAAGTATTCCCAGTTGATTATCACACGCAGTTATTAGACACAATCAGAGATGAAATAGAATAGTACTGCAAACCAAGGTGACCTTCAGTTCAAGTGATAAGACGGAATCACAATGAGTTTCATGGAAACTATCATCCCATTCTCACAGTTTGTTTCAAGTTCTATAATGAAAATTATACAGAAATGAAATTTTTAGTTTAAATCATCAATGATAACCATGTCATATTGACTCAGGTTCTGGTTTTGGGTGTGCGTAAGCACTTAAAACTTAAGATATGAAACCGTGACAAACAAAGATAGGGTATGTAGCTATAATATAACAGTTCCCAAAAATTTGAGAACCTATTAAAAAGTGAATTATCTGAATATAAAGCTGAAGACTGGATTTTCAAGCATTGATGCCTATCAAATTATCTGAATATAAAATTCTTAAAATACATTTAAACTGATCCCAAGAATTATATACAGTACACATTTAAACACACTCTTAAACCACATTCAAAATTCCTTCATTTTTCCACCTATGCAATATTTACAGTGGTTGATGATGCACCACACATTTCAACCTGTCCATTGGTCACCGACTCACAGTATATATGCAAGTTTCCTCTTGCACATACCACAACACTTAAGGGGTTGAGAGATTAAAAGAGCCTAACTAGCACGCCAATTATAATGTTAACTCCAAATCACGATACTATTTTCTCTTCTTCAGCTGCAATCTAGTTTTTGGCAAATGTATGATAATATTGATTGACTGAAGTAATAAGGAATAAGTGACCATCCAATTTTGAATATGACTAGCTTTTCAATTTTTCATGTGTCATTACCCTGTTGACTGTTCCCAACAACTTCTATTATTTGTTTTATATATTATTTGCTGAAGTTTAACCAGGTAATCAATTTTCAACATCCTTTTCCAGGCTCACTACTCAGACTTTATAGGACATATCAACCATCAGCCTTGGGGAGGGTAATACCTTTCACCCTCTTCTTTATGTAATTTTTTTTGTATTGTTATTAATTGAAATATGACCCATCTACCATTGTACAATGCCCATTATTTAAGAAAAATATAGAGCATAAATTATACTAGTAGGTCAAAAGAATTATATCATACGAGCAAAAATATAAGAAATTGATCTAAATTCTCGAAACAACAAGATATTTGGAAAGAAGAAAACATTGCATACCATAGTTTCGGAGGGCATATCCTTATCATTTTTGCCAGGAGCCTACAAGAGAGATAAGAAAACATATTCTCTTACATATTACTGCAGAGATCTCGCACACACTTAAAAAGAAGATTTTTTTTGAAAAAAAAAAGGCCAAGAAGCAGGTTCATTTGACCATTTAAACCCCCCAAAAATTTTCTTTTATGTTCATCAAAGATTTCTATCTCGGGGTATGTAAAGAAAGAGATCTAAAAGTGAACACAAGTCAAATATAGGGAATGTTCACATAAACCACATCTTTTTTGCATAGTCTCACTGTAAACGTAAACTTGACTCTTAAAACACTCCAAAGCTCACAACTAAATCTAATTCAGAAGAGGTGGTCCTTCTAGAAGGTCTATGATAAAGAAAGCCGAGCACTATCCTTTCACCCTTTCCCCTAAGCCAGTCATGCCTTTGTCATAAATATATAAACAAAAGTTGCACAATAATAAAGACAAAATAAGCTACCTAATTTCAGAAATCTATACAGACAATCCTCCAAACATAACTAAATCATGTGAAAAATAAGGTCCTCTGGTGCCAAGCACCTTCCCTTCCATGACCAGGAAGAAGGTTCTATTCCACGTCTTCCCATCGTCCGTCAAAGATGGCCGTAGAGAATCTTGTAGGGACTTCTAAGAGTATGTCTTTTGGTGAAAGAACTTCTCATTAATGAGAGGCTTATGGGATAAAACCACGTGGCAGTACAAAGACCAAAGACTCACAAAATATTGAGGACACTATCAAGGAATTTGTTTTAATACAAGTCACCTAACCTAAGTGATATCCATCACTTGTCAATCTCTATTATTGCTCATACGAAATATTAGATCTTTCACACCCATGATTAAATGAATAAACTCAAACTACATGATATTGAGTCCATAGGAAGACTGCTTAAGTTTTTAGTGCTACAGTTGTGGTTCTGGTCATAATGCATAACTATAGACTAAGTTACAAACACGGCAAGAATAATCATAAAGGAATGCATTGGATAAAGTCAATCACATTGTAGAAACATAATCTTAAATGCAACCTTGGAAATACCTTTACCTTCAGATAATCAAACAAGATGAGACTTTGAACCAAAATGTGACGTCGAAAATTTGGGTCTTTCAACTGAGACAACAAAAGAAGTTCAATTAGCTCCTAAACTTCAGCTAGAAATTTCAGCATGAGAAAAACTATAGATATCCTTACTTCTAGACCCATTAGTTTAGTGCTCGTAAGATACTTTATACTAAAGGTGGCAGCCTCGTCCTCAAGGTTGACAGCATTGCCTTCATCATCCGTCAGAGGTTGTGCCTCAAAAGTACTCAACACAATCTGCAAGACAAATCCGAAAAAATATTTATAACCAGATCACCATGCACCTGCTGTACAATATATATTTCCACTGTAGGTGGTATTGAAAAACGAAAACGAGGAGGGAAAAGGAACAAAAGACGTTGTACCATTAAGCTGGACATAAACTTCTGCCATTTGGAAGGATTAATAGACACTGAAGCAGGATTAGAGAAGTACTCCTGCAGCCATTATAAATTTCCTGAGCACTATTTTGCACGACAAAAAATTCCCAGTACAGAGCAGCTCGTAAAGATAGCACTAAAAAGGTGTGAGCATAAACAACTAAACAAGTACTTTCAACTTGGAACTGAGTTCATCACTAAGATGACCAGCTCCAGAGTTTATCAGTGGACTGCATATTGTAGTTACAACTATTTTTCAAAAGAAAAGAGATATATAGAGGAAAATCGGTAATTTTAGCTGCTTGTGTGGTCAACAACAAAACCAGAAGGAAGGTACATAAAAGTAGTTCAATTCTTTTTTTCTTTTTTTTTCCAATTTTCTTGGATATCATCGTTTAATTTATTTACTTTATCTCACCTTTTGTACTTTCCAGGCCAATTATCTTTGGATATACAATGACAATAACAAATTTAACCACTCCATGACTCTCCGCACCATGCATTCTCCATATGCTGATACTAAAATGCTTTTCATCTTTTAAAAGCATCATTCCAGTTTCTTTCCAGTCTTCTCAATTCATTTCATCAAAGTCAAACTCTAAAAAAAGAACCCCAACAATATCTAATGCCAATAGACTATTAAGTGTCAGTTTCATTGATCATGTCATCATCATACCCTGACAAGTACACATATTATCATATCTGTTTAACCTAGACATGTCCTTTTTAACAGTATCTTTCCAGTTATTTCGAGGATTTCCAAATCCACTTTTTAGTGCAATTAATGATTTTACGCTTACTCTCCTATCACAGAGGCATGAAAAGGTGTCCATCATATATATTAAAATCATCTTGAGAATATTATTCTCATTTTCGTAGCTATTATGTTACCAACACTATGTTTCTAATCACATCATTACTACTAATTTCATCAAATCGAATGCACCTGCACCACCATCTGAACTTTCCCACATTTATTACCCTCATTTATAGTTCTCTTTTCATGTTTCATTGCCCAACACTCAAATCTATAAAACATTAAGGCTTGTGTCACAATTTCATAAGGTTCCGTCCAATCTATTTTTATAGGATAATTTATGAAGATGGAATTCTCGTTTTGTTTCCACAAGCTACATTCTACATAACATGTCTTTATCCACAAGCCCCAATTTCCTTAAAGATAGATAAAAGATTGGATGCTCAAAGCCATAAGCATCAATTTGACAAATTACAAACAGATGAACATTGTTATCAACTTTAATCATCTACAACCATCTTCTGCTGAACATTGGATCGTTAGAAAAATTTAAGCATTCCCCAACAGAAAGGCTGAAACCCAAACAGTTTTGCAAGGTTGTACAATTGGTTCTATTATAATTAAGGCGAAAAATGGACATTCAATTGCTAGGGACATCACTATGGTATTCAATTGCTAGGGACATCACTATGGTATCTTCGAAACATTTAAGATATAATTGGCGAAAACAGTATGGTATCTCCTACGTATTAAAGATATAATGGGCCTTATGAAAACAAAAGTCCAACGAGGGGAATAAGAACATTAAGGGCACCATTCTTCAAGCATATATAAATTCTAAGATACAATTAAGAGAAAGAGTATTACTTACTAACCTGTAAACTCCAAAGAGTTTTGTAGAAGCCCATATCAATAGAAATACCTAAATACGGTAGCAGAAGAATACATAAGGATAACAACACAACAGAACATGTATTGAGGCTTTCAGAATTTCACAATCATACCATCAGAAGCTTCTGTCTCGTACTTTGTTTCATTTGATGTATTAAATACTCCTTTTATGTTAACAGCTGTAACAACAATAAATTATCACAAAACGTGCAAGCAAAATTTAAGCAAACAAAAAGAAGATAACTAGAAAGTGAGACAAAATTTACCAGAACGTTCCGATAACGGGAAAAAGTGTGCGAGAAACATGATAATTCGTCCACAGAAGACTACATCATTTGCCTGGAAAACTAAGTATATTGTTCAGAGCTTTAAAAAAAAGAAAGAAAAAAGCCAAAGCACATATGTTATGCAATATGTGCATTCTGTGTTTTGTAATATGCATAATTTCTACTGCATCTTTATACATTTGCAATGGACACTTTCTACATTTAAAGAATAATTCTTTGCAATTCTGATACAATCCTTTTACATTTCCAATACAAAACCCAGAAAACAGTACATATTTACATTTTCCTAACCCTAAAGTTAAGCCACCAAAAACGAGTGTAAAAAGTTAGACGGCAGTACTATGCATGGAAAAAACTTTTATTTGACGAAAAGTCGGGCCATAGAAGCCCAGGTGCAAAAGCTCTTGAATGCGACAATTACAAGGAAAGGTTAGGTCATGGAGGTCAGACATACAGGGTGCTAGCTCATATTGACATTTCTAGAGGAGGCTGTATTTACTGGCTGGAACCCATGACCTCTTGTCACATTCTAACAGCATTTTACCATTGTGCCAAGGATCCCCTTTGAGTGGGACAGCCTAAAAAGGTTCTTTCAAAACTCACACAAAACCTAGGAACCCTGATCACTACTGGGAAACAAAAATGAACACTGATTGATAGATAGGACAAAAGCCGAAACAATAATTACTAGTACAACTGTCCTCACAAGAAAAAGTAAACCCAGAAATAACAACAGTCTGTACCTTTGAAAGGCGGCGTAGAAGTTGGTTGCATGTTCTCAACATCACTAGCTTTCCTCGGGCAAACAATTCTGGCTACAAAATTCAATATTTAGGAAAGATAATTCAAGGTCTTAGCACAATATAATTTCAGAACATGTTTGTAGATATAGAAGAGAATCATTTTCAAACCTTTAACATTTATTAGGAATTGCACTCTTTTAGTTTGAAGCTTATTCCACTTCTTGACACTAAAGAGACTCGCAATTGCACATTACGAAAAAAATGAAAATGAACAATGACGCAACCAGGCTTGCATCTGAGCCACATAATGTCAACATGGTTATCAGTAATACTTTAGTTCTAAAGCCATGGACATAGATTTTCCATCTTACAATTGACATAAATATTTCGTGGACAAAAATCAGCCCATAGCATCAAGTCAGGGACCTAACTCATGGTACAACTGAACTCAACATGCAGAAGGAAAATCTAAGACACTGTGCAGGTGCCAATAAAATAGGGGCATCAATTTTCGTCCTTCTAAGGTTTGCATGATATAAAATTTGTTGAATGGCATTGTAAGTAATTCAAAAATATCAGACGCTCCTTCAAAGAAATAGTAATTTGAAAAGGTAAAGCACTTCCATGTTGATCAAGAAGAATATCACCATACCATGTCATATTTCATCATTCCAGGTACCTTTGCAAATCAGATACTAGGCTTTCCACATCTTAGTTATGATTTTACAGGGTGGCCTCAATTGTGTAACTACAAGAAAGGTTTTTGGAATAACTTCATCCATAATGCAGCTAACCCTCGGAGTGAAATAACACTAGTAGAGATCTAACACTTTCAATCTTTAAGAACTAGCAGTCTTTTTGCCCGCCAGTATTTGTTAGCGCTTAAAGAATTAGTTATTAAATTTTATTAATAATATAGTAAGTTAGTTTTAAGTAAATAAGAATTTTAAATTAGTAATAAAGATGAAGAAACTGCTAAAAGTTAGAATCAGGAACAATTTAAGCATAGAGTTGTAACAGATTCAAAGGAAAATGCTTAAACAGCACAAGAACATAGATAATTATCGAAAATAGTGTACTTCAAAAATTCAGAGGCTATAATTGACGACATCATGATAGATAGAAGAGACTAAATAGCAATCTAAAAAATTTCAAAATGAAAAGTATCATCCACTTGTGACCAATCAATTCAAAGCTTCACAAAACTTAGTTCAAAACAACTCTATCAACAGAGAAATATGTAATCCATTGCTAATAAACAGAATAAAATAGTGAAATAAAGCACTATTTCGCATACCTTCCCAAGTATTTCTTGTTTACTCTCTATGTAACCAAAGATATCTTCACAATTTCTCATAGTGGACATTTCAGTCAAATCTTCTAGCAGTTGAAAAATCATGCCACCTTCAATGTGCTCTTTCTCACAAAGATAAAGGATAATATCTGCCAAGAATAGGTAAAACGACCAAATCCAATGAACGCACATTTATTAAATAGAGCTAAGACAACAATGATAATAAAAATGGAGCAACACCATAATAAATTTTCAGGAACTTGTGCATTGATGTCATTTTCACAGGGCATTCTTAAAAAGGCTCTAGCTAAAGAAGTGACACCAACCAAGAAGACGAGGAATGTGTCCATGATTATCTTCAACATCAATTGATTGTCCATATTCCATGACTTTTTCTCCTGACTTAACAGCTTCTGCCTACAAAAAGAACAAGCAATATCCAACAACATTAAAGAGTAAGTGCAGAAGATGAGAATTAGCAGTTGCATGCATTGGGAGTATCATGGTGACAAAAGAAGGAGATTCGCTAGCCATCAAAGTAAAAAACTATCACCCATATGCCCATTACATCTAACAAAGAATTGAAGACAAACATTTTGATGATCAAACCTCAACTTTTTGGCACAGAACTTGTTCTGGCTTCCAGGGAAAAAATTTCTACACAAAATTAAATAATACAACTCCCCGAAACATGCAAATCTGAAGTTTTTAACATGTTGATCTCTAATACCAAAATCCTTCAATTTGTTTCACATTTATCCTGTGAAGCTTATAGGTGATACAAGATTTTCTAAAGAATAAACGTAAAGATCCTGATTAATCATTTAATCCTAGCACTCACACCCACATTTCCAAAGAGGGAATGCTAAACCACAGAGATGCTCCGTTGTTTAAATTGAACAATGGAAGTGAAAGAAGTGTTGATTTAGAAAGTTACATACCACTAGTTCTTGCAGTAGTGCCCGCAATATGTTTTCCAGCAATTGATTCTCATCTTGAACTAACTTTGTTTGCTTCTGAAGAAGACATATACAAAAAGATAATAAAAAGTTAATATGCCTGTTCATGTTTTGAACTATAGAAACCTTTTATTTCAAAGGCATCAGACAGCGGTAACCAAATTCCACATAGTTCAATATTTTACAAAACATCCATCAGTTATTCATCCATGTCATGCAAGAAATAACAAGTTTTCAGCAGGCGTCTTAGAAACAAAGATTTTCTTGTGGAGGCAAAAATCAATGTGTTTCTTGCGTTTTGCCAAAGTGATACAATTCTGGTTTAGAATCTTATTTATCAGCAAAGAATTAAAGAGATATTTCAAATCTAAAAAGCACTCCATACTAAATTCATCCTGGCTCAGCCATTGCAATTGCATTCTTAGAAACAGAAGCTGTCTTTTCTACCAACCCCACAAGAATTATTCAGCAATTTAATGCAACAAAAACATCCAAAACAAAAAATTTGAAACCAATGGGAGGAATAATGAGAAACCTGAGGTTTTATGGCTTCTTGAACTGTTTGAAGAGCGAATTCAGCCGGTGGTCCTGGATGTACTATAGCTCTCCGGAATAAATCCTAAGAAACCGGAAGAAAAAAAAACAAAACTCAGTTTGAAATTTGATACAAAAGAAGCAAGCATTTCAACGGACAGAAATCATAGCAATCAGGATACAGGAACTTTTCTAAGAACTTTACCATGTCCAGAATACAGCGTCGGAGCGATCCAAAAAAACAATTCGAAGCGCCGTAGAAAAGCAAAAGGATCAGAATTTTCTCGACTTTCTGGAGCAGTTCGAAGCGTACAAAAGGTTTCGCAGAGAAACAAACAGTAAGGTAAGGGGCGGGTATTTGAAGGCAAAACTCCAAAATCCTTGAAGTACCCCTAAAGAATAAATAAATTAAATCTAGAACCGTATATTTTTGTGAAATTATAAATTAGACCAACCTTCTGGCTTTCTGGGTTCTGACTTTTGAGTTCTCATGGTACTTATTCAATCCTCCCTTAAAACCTTACCGCCATACCAATGGCGGTTTCATCAAAATCGCTAACGGGAATGCTCTCCTTGTTTCATTCCTCCATTAAAACACCACTTCCCAAGTACTTCCTTCCACGAATTACAGCCCGAAGAAGTATTTCAGCTTCACAAATCAAGCAAAAGCAAAATGCCAAGGCAAAACGAAAGACTGAGTTTGCTGGCGCGGCGCAAGTGAAGAGGCGAACTCGTTCGGATAGAGAGCTTGATGGGGATAGCTTCATGAAATACCATGGGGAGGATAATAAATCTGGACATACTCCGGTAATGATTGGGGAAGTGTTGGATGTTTTTGCTTCGGTTCCCCTCCGCTCTTTCGTCGATTGTACCCTCGGCGCCGCCGGTCACTCTTCCGCAGTTAATAATGATCCTTCTCTTTCTCCATTTTTGAATTTTAGTTTTCTCTGACTACGTATTTACTTTCTTGCTGCTGGCTTCAATTTTTTGTTAAAAAGTTAGTCTCTTGGCTCATTATCTTTTGTCGACTTTCATTTGTTTCTCAAATTCTTTGAAAACATAGTTGAATTTAATAATTCTATCTGGGTTCAATGAAATAGCCATCAAACGCCTATATACCGATTCATGATTATTAGTATTATGAATGAGTGATTACCAGAAGAAGAAGGCCATCAATCTGTAAACTTCTCTGGGGTGAAATTTAAGATGGTGTATGTCCTTTTCTTTTTTCTATTTTTAGGTCAATGCAGTTCCTTGTTTATTATTCTGTCGTGGTTGATACTGTTATCATTTTTTCCTTCTAATTTTCTGTATATTTTAGGTTCTTCTCTCAGAAATTAGTGTGCATATAATATAACATTCAATCTTAGGGTGCTAGTAATGTGACCTGGAAGCTGCCTATAAGGGGGGAAAACTGATGTGAGCACAACTCATAACATTCTTAGACTCAAGATGTTAGATAGTGGTTGAATACTTTTGTACCTTTTCCTGCTTTGAATCGGTGTATGCTTCTCTATTTCTACTTTTCTCTTTCCTGCTCAGGCTTTTTTTCTATTTTGTTGATAATAAAGCGCTTCTATAATTTGGTTCAAATCAAATCTTTTGCCACTATCAAAATATCAATTGGTGCAGCAGAAGTACTATTTTGTATTTGAGCATGGGTATGTTATTTAACAAACCTCGTGAGCTAATTAAGTGACTGGTGTGTTAAATTAGGAGATGGCCTTTTCACTCTAATAAATTTCCCAGTAAGGAAGCATCTCTGTCTTGTTGCATTGCCAGTTTCATTGTGATTTGAGATATTTGAAACATGCATTTTCTTTCTCTTTTTCTTTTTTATTTTAGTGTGGCAAAAGGTTGAGTTGATACACAACTCATACATGTCTAATACTCATTTACAGTTCCCATTATGAAAGCATCTTCTATTTATACGCTAGTTTCTGATATTTTTAGCATTACGCTAAGAATTGTCCTGGAATTCTCAGATAATTCAGGCTCATGGTGAGATGAAATTATTTGTTGGGATAGATGTTGATCCAGCTGCTCATGAGATTGCTGATGCTCGGATAAAAGGGATCTTGGGGTGTGATACATGTGAGCCAACTTCAGAGTTGTGTATACACACATTTGTCCAGAACTATAGAAGTATCAAGTCTGTTCTTGGTGGTATCGATGAGGCGCTATTGGGAGCTGGGGTCAGTGGGATTTTGATGGACTTGGGGATGTCATCCATGCAGGTTTGCTTCTAGACGTAGTCTTCTGTTTGAAAGAGAACATGTTCATGGGAGATTATTTCACTTTTCTTTTATTGTCGATTGCTCGCCCACTTTCTGACTGCTTTCTATCAGAAATCAACTTAGGGGGTTGCACATTGCCACTAGTCTGAAATTGATCAGTCTTCTGTGGTTCTCTTCTTCACAGGTCAATAATGCTGAAAGAGGATTCAGTGTACTTGGTGATGGGCCCCTTGATATGCGGATGAATCCTCAGGTGATCACAATCGTATTCTCTTGCAAGTATAGGGACTTTGTTTTCATTGTGTGTCGGTATCACTGTCTTGTTAAGTATGAAAATACAACGTATTTAGATTTCTGGAGATTGGAAAAGATGAAAGGCCACTGAATGTTGATCATTCATTAATGAAATGTCAAGTTCTGAAGCTTTGTTACTTCAGAATCCTGAATGAAGTTTTGTTGGAGTTTTGCTCATGCTAAATGGACTCACAGGAATCTCAGAAGCCTCATAGGGAGATTTAGGGATCTAAAGGCTGATTTTGGAACGAAAGCAGCAAAACTGCGAAAGATTCTAGATTACTTGCGAGTAAACTCTTGTCATCTGTTATTGAAAGCGAGGAAGATGGACAGTGTCTTTCAAACTTCAGTAATTAGTGTAGATGTCCGTAGTTCAATCTGATTCCTTGACGATAATTGATCACTCCAAAAATGAATACTATTTCAACCGTAAATTCCAAGTAGGATAAGTGCTTTTTCGTTTGTCATCTACAGGATATAATAAATGAAACAAATATGCAAAAGCATTAGATGGATACATGTCATGCACTTTGAAAATGGTATTTGCATGCAATTGACTGATGGGAAGTGACAAAAAGGTCCCTCAAGTTGTGTTTTGTTATCACATTGCTGTATCCTTCCTATATTTAGTTCATAGCACTTCAATTGCTGGGATAACGGTCAGTCTGTCACCATGAAATCTTTATCACCTTGCTTCCCCAGCTCCTGTTCACTTTTTCTTTTTTCTCCTCTCTTTTTTATTTTTTGCTTTTTTTTGTTCGTTCATTAAAAGCATAGCATCCTTGGCTGTTCACTTGTCAAATTAGATGTTGTTTTGAGTTCATGAAGCTCTTTCTTTACCAAGACTGATATCAGCAAGTGCAAACTGGAGCCTTTTTTGGGCTGGATAAGCTTTTCTATGATTACTCTTGATTTGGATGTGGTGCTCAAAGTGTATTTATGAAGCTGAGACTATCATTCATGGTCTAAAAAGTTTTTATTTACGAAATGTTTGCTTGTTACCTTTTGCTTTACTTGACCAGAGTATGCACTTCAATGTTCAAGTCTCTTAGGATATGAAACGACATGTGTTGGTATATAGTGTTAAGTAGGTGTTAGCCTTGTAGAATACCAAATGCTTGACTTAGAGAGGGCTGAAAGGATTTCTGAAAAATCAACTACTCCGAGAAATGTGATTTGTTTATTAATGAGTGTTATGTTTTCTTTTCTTTTTATGTTTAAAACAAGTCATTCTACTTTTGTCTCCTGGAGACAGAAAGAATCTGCGTTTTTGGTACTTTTTTTTGTTTCACTTGACTACTTGTGTAGCCTGTTTAGTTTTATAAAATGAAATCAACTTGCCTACATATGGATCACCGAACTTGTGTGTTGTCTGCAAAGAAGATTTATCTTATAACATTGTGTTCACAGAAACAACCGTGAATAATAAATACATCCACCAGTGGATCTCATGCTGTCACACATTTGTAATCCGATAAGTACAGTGTAGATATCCAGTAGCTGACGGCATGTTGCTGTGATGTTAAATGGTTTGCTAACCATTATGGGTTTTCTTAAGTGTGTTCATACTTAGGATATCCTTGTACTACAAAATATCTCATATGCCAACTTATACATTTATGAAAGTGTATAGGTATTAAATCACTTATTCTTGTTAGGTTATATACTTTTGCAAACTATGAATATGTTTATTTTTTTCTACTATAGAGGTTCTCCCCAATGAATTCTGGAGAAATGCTGGAACCAACTTGAACGAATCAAATATTTTGTCCTAAAATGTTATTTTTTGCTATGAAATTAAACTGTCAAAGTTTTCTTTATTTCTGACACCTTATGATAAGTGTTTCAAATTAAATCGTGAATCGAAATTTATGTGATGCTTTCACTGTTTAATGTATGTTATTAAGCTGGTAAAGGACTTTGATAGGTCAGTTTAAAAGCAGAAGACATATTGAACTCATGGCCAGATGATGAAGTGGGAAAGGTGCTACGGGAGTATGGTGAAGAAAGCAATTGGCATCGCCTTCAGAAGAAAATTGTGAATGCCCGTCTTCATGGTGGTTTGCATTCTACCGCTGAACTTGTCAATCTTATTCGGAGCTCGACTTGTGGGACAAGAGGTTTGGTTTGCTTATTTTAGTTCTCATCTGATTACAACTAATTCAAACCTATCTTTTGATTTCTAAGTAGAAACAAGGTCAAGCCATTGTCATGATCAAATTAACACACTGTTATTGTTTATACTTGATAATCTAGTTCAAGTAGGATAATTTCTGCCCTTCTTTGACACTGATGTGATGTCCAGTTGCTCCAAAATCTCATGGGACTTATTTTGGTGCATCAGGAGGGAGGCAAGGTTGGATAAAGACTGCCACAAGAGTGTTTCAAGCATTAAGAATAGCTGTTAATGATGAACTCAACACATTACAGGATTCCATATATGCATGCTTTGATTCCCTCGAGTCAGGAGGAAGGCTTGCTGTAATCTCGTTTCACAGTTTAGAAGATAGGATAGTGAAGCAAGCTTTTCTCAATATAGTTAAATGTGAAGATAGTGGATCGCCTGGTTCTTCAGAAATAAACATGGACAGATACGAAAAAGAAGCATGGATCAAACAGATAATACGCGGACATAAAGCCAATGTCCTCACTAAGAGGCCAATAACACCTTCTGAGAAAGAGGAGAAGCTGAATCCTCGGAGTAGGAGTGCTAAGCTCCGGGTGATTGAAAAGCTTTGATGATTTGAAGAGAAAATACAGCCAAGCATTTTTTACCAAGAAGACCTATAAATATGTAGGGTTATGAAAATTCTTCTTTTTTGGAATTAACAGGGGAATAATCCTTGTATACAGTTTACATTCCTGTACTCTTGAGTCTGGACTAGGCCTGTTCATTGGGTCGGGTTACCCGAGACCCGACCGACCCCCTGTGCTCTGGAGTCTGGACTGTTAAAACTCGAGCGTAGAATGTTGCTTGTGGGACTAACTGTCCAGTTTCTGAATTATCTTTAAAGAGCCTGCATCCTTTTCTCTTTTTTTCTTTTTTCTTTTTTTGTTGTTTTCTTGGTGTTCCGAAAGAAGCAAATGTCACATAAGCTCCCCCTGATTTAAAACTGGAATTCATATAGTTATCAAAAGAGGACGGACTATTCCTGTGGAATTTTACTTGCCTTTTTTTAGTCTCGTAATGAGAGTTCCATTTCTACAAAGTACTCTCTCCGTTCCAAAATTATTGTTCAATTTGAGTTTTTATTTCTAGTACAAATTATACTAAAAGTGAAAACTCAACTGGACAATAATTATGAAACGGAAAGAGTATATCTTTTCTATTGTTGTTTTACTCATTTTAAATACAATCGCTCTTTTTATAAAATCTTGCACCTTAAGTGACGCTCTATAATAACTCATGAGAACAATCAATTTTATGGTTTACATTGCTCTTTACATTGGTTGATTGAAGTTGCTTAAAAAATTATGAATTTTGAAGTTATCTCTCATTAGGAGGGGCAACAACAACAACAAAGGGACAAAAACAACAATAACATACTCAATATATTCTCAATTTGGTTGGGGTTTAAAGATCAAGATTACGCATCCATATCCCTGTATTTTAATACATAGAAAAAAATGATTTGAATAATGTTCGGTTGTAAAACAATTTGAAAGAGTTTTCATTATAACAATGGATCATGCAAATTCTTATAATATAGGTCTTGCTTGTAATAAAAATAAAAATTTTGAACTTAGAAATTCAGGCCTTGTTTGTTTCCTTTTTTCATCTACTTTTTTGACCGTTGGTTTTGGACGGAATTTTTTTCATTTTGTCGGTTTTGTGTGGGAAGTGAAAAAGGAGGCAAAAATTGTTTGGCACAAAGATTATTCATGAAGGTAAAAAAAGAAAAAAAAAAATGGGAATCTCCTTTGCCCCAGCATACCTGCGCACCTGGGCCTACGGTAGTTGACCAAAAAAAGAAAAGAAACATGTGACTGGGATTAGTTAATTCAGGTGTTATATTTTTTATGTGTGTTTTCCCCCTTTTTTTGTGTTTTTTCCCCTAATTGTAATGCATTTAATAATATTTCACACTCTTGAAAGTTATGATAAGTACCACATATTCTTCATATATATTAACAAAATATGAGAAGAAATTAGAAGAAATTAGAACAATGTTTTCCATGTTGTATTCGCCTACGTTCAGTGTATATATATATATATATATATATATATATATAAGTGAATAATACCAAAAAAAAGGTTTAAACTAGAGAAGTAGAAACAAAATAAAAATAGAGTTCAAAAAATTAGGAAATCGCTAGCCCTTGCAAAATACACACATATATTATTACATTTAATTGAAACACATGATCCTCTTATGATTGAAATAGCAGCAAAACAGTAATACATAAGAATATCCAAACAGAGACACCCATGGAAACAACAAACCCGTACTACATTATTCGGCAAATCTCTATTTATAATTTGCCGCGTGACATCCACACCTAGACGCCAAAGCAAAGTATCCATGCTTTTCTATGTAGCCTGCATATTATTCCTCTAATAATAGTTCCTTGCATTCCACATCTGGCCAGCTAGCATATCACGGAAATTATTCCATGCAGCAACAGCTTGAAATGAAGCATTAAATTGTTGAGGTGGTGGATTCTGGGGAGCTTCTAACTCATCATCATGCTCAATGAAATAAGAATCATTTGGAACTTGGTCTCTTATGAAATTGTGAATCGTTGCACATGTAATAACAATTAAGTTTGGCGGGATATCATATAATTCGGCATTGGACCACGTAAGATGGAAAATCGCCGCTTTAAAACTCCAAATGTTCTTTCAATTATATTTCGAATGGAAGAGTGTCGATGATTAAAATGCTCTTTCCATGTTCTAGGCGCTCTTCCCCGACCTCTGTAATCTTGCAGGTGGTACCGCACACCTCGATACGGCGCTAAAAAACCTGGCATATTTTTGTAAGCAAAGTCGACCACATAGTATTTTCCTACATTGATTCTTTCTTAGTTAATATAAGAGACAACTTTATAACAATCTTATGATAAAAGATGTATTGTAACTTATACCTTCTGGAGGCATTACAAATGCGGACCTCTCTCTCATTATTGTGTCAACCAAAACTCTTGCATCATTAGCGCTTCCTTCCCAACCAGCGGTGATGTAAGCAAATCTCATTTCATGGTCGCATGCGGTGAAAACATTTTGAGTGATTTGTCCATGGTGATTTCGAAAAGCATCCCTTCTATCTACAAGAACCCAGGCCGGAACATGTGTGCCATCAATCGCTCCAACACAATCCTACATGTTCAAAATCCGTTATTTATACAGGTTTAATCCACCACCAACACAATGAAACATAAGCGCCGGAGTTGAAGACAACATTTGTGTGTATATAATTGAATGTACCTTGAACCAAGGATAATATCTGTTGTCCTCCAAGATTCTATGATGCGTGGTATGTTCATTCCTTGTCCGAATAAGAGAAGTGCTCAAATTACAAATTGCTCGCAACACTTGTCGAACTTGTCGATTGATGGTTTCCGTTGAGTGTTGAAACCTTTTTGCCAGTACTCGTTGCCTAGCATTGTGGCTTGCTAAATGCAAAAACATGCACACTGATTGCTCAGTAGATACATGTGCAAACTTCGATAATTCAATATAACCTCCATCACGCAGGACCTGACAGAAGCGCATAAATAAATCAACATCCATCCTGCAATTCTCAAACAACAGGTTATGATGTCCCATTAATATTCCTGCACCCATTGATGGCCAGGTAGTGCTGAGTTGCGACACGGCATTCGTTCAAGTCTGTTCGTTTCTCTTTCTTCGAACCACCTTCCTACCATAATCATATCAACAAGGTCATCTAACTCCTCTTCTGAGTCACTTTCTCCCGCAAAATTCCTTCCATGACCTGCCATTATGTGTGACCTAACTAGTAATATCAAAAATAGTAAAAAAAAAAAAAGATAAAATATAAAATTAGCACATTGATTATGAGTGTAAAATAGAAAATGTGATTACTATTATGGTAAGACTTGTGTATGTCCTTTTTATTTACTCAAGTTAATGTCTACTTAATCGTATAACACACAGGGGCAGAACGTACTCGAAATAATTATTATTGACAAAATAACTTACACTAATTACCTAATATTTTTTTAAAAAAAATAAAGGGCTGAATATTGTTAAAAAAATTTTGTAAAAACCAATATAGAGTAACATGTTCTATCAAACTTAAATAAGAAAAAACCTAAGTACTATATATTGTATACATTTTTTTTAAAATTAATTCTGAATCAAATAAGATAACATTCTTGATTGAAAAATGATCAATTTGTAGGGGAAGCTAACAAGTGAAAAAGAAATTGAAGAAGACCGAAGGGTTTTATTAACTTTCTTTTTTTACAAAATAAAAAAGAAGGAGTTGTGGGTAAGATACACAATAAAATTGTGCCGAGAAAGAAATAATAAGAATAATAAAATTATATAACAATATAGAAATGGACAGAATTTAATAAAATTGTAAATAAAATAATATGGACAAAATTTAATAAAATTATAAATAAAATAATATGGACAGATTTTAATAAAATTATGAATAAAATAATATGGACAGATTTTAATAAAATTATTAATAAAATTATATGGCCAGTATTCAATAAAATTATTAATAAAATTATATGGACAAAATTAATAAAATTATTAATACAAATATATGGACAGAATTTATTAAAATTATTCATAAAATTATATGGACAGAATTTATATGGACAAAATGATTAATAAAATAATAAAATTATATGACAATATGGACATAATTTAATAAAGTTATTAATAAAATTATATGGACAGAATTTAATAAAATCATTTATACAATTATATGGACAGAATTTATTAAAATTACTAGTAAAATTATATGGACAGAATTTATATGGACAACATTATTAATAAAATTATATAATTATATGACAATATGGACATCAATTTAATAAAATTCTTAATAAAATAATATGGACAGAATTTAATAAAATTATATGGCCAGAATTTATATGGACAAAATTATTAATAAAATTATAAAATTATACAATATGGACAGAATTTAATAAAATTGTAAATAAAATAATATGGACAAAATTTAATAAAATTATAAATAAAATAATGTGGACAGATTTTAATAAAATTATTAATAAGATTATATGGACGGAATTTAAAAAAGTTATTCATAAAATTATATGGGCATAATTTAATAAAATTATTAATAAAATTATATGGACAAAATTTAATAAAATTATGGACAAAATTATTTGGACAGAATTTATATGGACAAAATTATTAATAATTATATGACAATATAATTTCATAAAATTATATGGCTAGAATTTATATGGACAAAAATTATTAATAAAATTATAAAATTATATGAAAATATGGACAAAAATTTAATTATAAGAATATAATTTAATAAAATTATCTGACAATATGGACAGAATTTAGTATAACAATATAGAAGTTCAAATTAAAAAAGCATCATCTTCGCTCCCTAATGGAACTCTGCATGTGCTTAATATGATATTGGTAACACAACAACAATAAAAAAGGATCACATATAGAGGAAAAGAAGGGTTCAAAGTGTACCTCTTTGAATTAATGAACAACAGGAGAAAGTGATGGCCTTTTGTTATCACGATCCAACCACACCTACACAACTTGGCACCAAAGAATGTGTTTGTTCTGCAACACAATCCGAAAGCAATAGCTTTTGTACTCTTATTTTTTATTATAGACAAACAATGCAATACTATTCTCCCTAACAACAAACTATGAAAGAAATGCGATAAAATATCCTCTGCTGGGAATTTGATTAGGGATAAGGAATACTTCAAGTTAGGTCTTTATATAGAGAGAGTTACAATACAACCCAGTGGCAATTTGCTTTTAATAATAAGATGTGCAATAATTCAAAAAAAAATACTGTGCGTCCATTGGACAACTTGGGAAATGAAAACCTGCATACACTTCATGACTAATGGCCTACTTGAATTATTTCCACGCAGTATTCATAATCTCAAAACCACATACAAACCACAGCACAAAAGGTGATACCAAAAACTCCTATTGATGCAACAAGAGTGGTCTGTACTGTGAGGAACCATGCCATTGTGATGTGTCAGTGTCACGTTATAAGGAAAGTGTGGTTGGAAATAAACTGCAGAACTTATGCAGCCTAGCTATGAAAGTCTCCATACAAGATAATTTTGGACATGTTTTAACAGACCAAAATTATTAGAAGAACACCTCTCGGTATTTTCACGTGCTATGGTTTGAATTCTTTGTCTTGATAAAAAAGTGCTAGTTTTTTTGGCCTAGGCCACGTAAGTTGTTTTTTTTTTTTTTGTCCTTTATCAAGAGCTATATTTATTTTATTGTGGCTAGGTCAGACCATAATTGAGTATATACGTTTAAACACAATTACGTAAGAGCAGCAAGATACTAGGGAAACTCGTTAACAATACATTAATAAATCCCAAGCAGGCTCCTTGCCATTAGTTTGCTAACAGTATTACAGTACACTCATTAACATAAGGGCCTGTGGCTATTACAAGTTGTAATTATAGCCACACTAACACAAATGCTGGCTTATACAGTCATTCTACAGAAATATTTTAAAGCAGACAACAATTATATGGCCTTAGGTTCTAGCACAGTCACACATTAACAAATGAAATTGCACACTGCCTAAAAATTAGATCACAGTCACAACCCTAAAAATTACATACTGACTAAAAATGACACATTAGCAAGGCACAACATGCAACACACATAAAAAGGGACCATAATGCATGAAATTGCATACTGCCTAGTCCATGTAGGTGTTCCCCATTGGAAAATGGAACACTGACCTCACAATAGCCGAAAATGGTGACCAGAGACTGAGTTTAAACCAATATATCAGACTGAGTTTCAACAACTTCATAAAAAAGATAACAGCCATTAAAGGTCAAGAATGAGGGATAAGCGGAATTCAGAATCAGACAAAAGGAAAATTTGGCAGTTTTGAGGATCCTTCAAGTATTCAGTTGCCTGCACATAGAGCTTATGATCAGTTATTTGCATGGATTTGAGTATTGCCATGCACTGGACAAGGGTTTCCTTATCATCCTCCTTCTGTTGCTGCTTGGCATACCATTTCAAAACAGCTGCATCCTGCATCTCCTCCCTGCTTTTCTTGGAAAGACCACCTTCACTCACACCACTGTCCATTGTCCTTTTTCCTTTACCACTTTTCCGGGAAGAGCCACCAACTTCTAGGACACGACCAGCCCCAAAAGCTGCAACATCAGCACCCATATGACCAGATCGATTCAAAGATGTACTACAAAATTGTTGCTCTTGTTGTCTTTCTTCATCTGAGTCAGCAGGCACATGTGATGTATCCCTTCTCCAATCCCCGGAAGCAGTTATCTGTTTGAACAACTTGGACATCTCTTCATAGTGCATTACCCCTTGCTCCCTGAACTTCTTGAATTTGCTATTTTCCTATAAATTGCAACAAAAACCTCTTTTATGGCATGTACCAAAAATTTGTTTGCATACAGACAACAAAACAAAAAATGCCAGCCAATATCCTAAACCTTAGAATTTGGCAGGTGGAAACTGATTGTAGATATATAATACAAACAATTTTCAGTGAAGATACACAAATCAGAAAAGAACTAATATAGTTATGCCAAAAGATCTAAGGCATATTTACCATTTCCAAACAATTAATGGGAAGACACAGCATCTGTGGCATACAAATTAAAGCCATTTAATGAAAAGCAATATAATAAGAACAAATGTTTATCAACCAGCTTCAAATCTCCTCTGTTTTCTTGCCATAAGCCTCAAGGTTTATGAATAAATTAATTTCATTAATTTCACAAAGAAATGGACTAGATCAAACTTAATGGCAGCAAACATCAAATAAGCAGCAAGTTAAAATTAACGAGCTAACCGACGAACCGAAATTACGCCATCAGTAGCTCCCTATCTTTCCCAGGTATTCAGGCCATAAACCTTGAATCCCAAACATCATTAGTTCCTTAAAGTCAGCAGGAAATGAGAAAATTAGGATCAATAGCAATAGACATCAAATGGGGGGCCAAAGATTACTTATTATTGGGGAAAGGAGATGAAATTCAAGCCATTTAATGAAAACAATACAATAAGAACAACTAACAAACTGCTTTCTTTATCCTATGTTTTCTGGCCATAAGCCTCACCTCATGAGTAAATTCATTTCGTTAAAATCACAAAGAAAGGACAAGATCAAAATTATGGCAGCAAATATCAAATAAGCAGCAAGTTAAAACTAACGAGCTACCCGACGAACCGAAATTAACCCATCGGTAGCACCCTATCTTTCCCCTATATTCAATCCATAAACCTTGATGCCCAAACTTTTTTAGTTTATTAAAGTCAGCAGGAAATGAGAAAATTAGGACAGAATTTATACACATCAAAAAAATAACCTAAGATGTATATATCATAACGCATTGGGATAATCGAATTACAGTTGGAAATAAAAATTTGTAACTGAATAACATTTGTAATTTTTTGTAGTTAATAAACAACAGAATCACTATTTCAGTTTACACAGTCTACATTATTTAAGTGATTCATAAATTTCAGAATCGGACATCAACAGTTTGCTTGGGGAAGAACTTGTAACTTTAAAGTTGTAACGAATCTTTGAGCAACCTTCACAAAACCAATAGTTATGTGATTCATAAATGTTTTATGCTACATTGCAGGCAAAACCAGCACAATATGCCAGAATCAGATCAGCATAAAAATCACAAAACTCTGTATCTTAGCAACACAGAATCATGATGCATAACTTGGTTCTCAATACTCTACAACAGGTAAACTCGGGAACTAAATGATTATAATCATGATGCATAATCATGATGCAATGATTATAAAGAAGTTCTGAAACATGGAAGAACTTTGTTACAGGTTAAGCCTTCAATCCTCTTTGTCACTTAAAAAAATTCAAATATTCAAGCATCAAATAGAGGAAATTCTTTCCAGAAAAAGGTCATGACAAATAATGCAAAAAAGTTCTGCCATTTGCTAAAGGGCGGAGATGAAATGGGCTTCCACCATTACAATATATAACAATCTTGAAGGGGTAAGATAAAAAACAAAAGTGTCAATTAAACTCAAGAAAATTGGATACTGTGGCATCTTGGGATGCAGTCCTGCTAAGGATTGGGTACAGCATATGATTCCATTCAGAGTAACAAAGAATATCATAGCAACAATAGAGATTAATTGTCTGATGGAAAAGGACGTGGAAGAAAGATGTGCTTTATCATTCTTTGGACTCTACACTCCTGAATATGAGGCGAATTATTCATTATCAAAATTTCCAGAGTTATTACACAGACAAAGAGAAGTTTATACTCATTAATTCCATCAGTTTTCTTGTATTGTCAGGGTCAAAGCCCCACAAATTTATGAAAAGAATTCATTGTTAATATCAAACAGATGGAAACAATGTAGCAGATCTTTTTTGTTTTTAACCAAAAAGGGACTATCTTGAAATTGAAATGACACTATAAATAGCATTAGAGTTTCACTGAGCTGAAAAAACCATTATTTCAAAGACTATGTTCTCAAGTACAACATCCCATACAAAGTTGGAACCAGGTCAAAGTGCAACGCAGGTGAAAAGACAGAGAAGATCAAAAGTAATATGTCAAACAGGGCATAAAATAAACCAATTTTCCATTACCTGGATCCACTGAGCCCATTGTTCTGGCTCTGCTAAAATGGCTCCAATTTCAGGGTCAACTCCCACGCCGAAAAAGTCATGTAGTTGTTTGTACAAGCGCCATTCCTGACGAAGCCGGTTCATCTTTTGTTGTAATTACTGACCTGAGAAAGGCCGTTTGTTTGGAAAGCGACTATACAGCTCCTTAGCAATCTCATCAAACTTTTTCTTTGTGAAAGTATTTGAAGTAAGACAACCTTTGTCCTGGGCATCAAGCATTAAGTGGACAAAGTGGCTAACCTCCTCTGGTAACATCTCCATTCTTTCGGACTCTATTTCCTATAGAAAATTATTTTGTAAGACATGAATAAATATGAGGTGAAACAGAATCAGTCCAGCTTGCCATAAATGGGCCTATATTCAGCTTGTTATTGTTTTTTTTTTTTTTTTTTTGTAAATTATAAAATGAAAACCTTATTTGCACATCTATACCTCTTCGTAATTTTTTATACAAAGCCCAAGGTCGTTTGATGCTGTTCCGGATTTAATAGCACTACTTTGGATACAAGTATGGGAATCCTCACTGTTATTGTCGCCTACATATTGACCGAAATCATTAATCAAACTCAAGAGCTTGTCAAAAAATGAACCTGCTCGACATCGAAAAGGTTAAGGAATGGGCATACTTGTCTTAAGGTGACAGCCTACATCAGTGAATATTGTGTCATCGAAGCATTTAGAGGGAACACCTTTCCCAGATTTTTGTTCGGACATCACAAAAGTACCGGACCTCAAATCTACAAAGAGTTGCCAACTTGACATGATCATTAACCAAGTCAAAGCTATGATTAAATCTAGGTGAAATTTTGTTATTGGGGGCAGGGAAATTCATATTAGGTGCAAAAATAATGTAACTAGTTCCTGCATTCACTACATTCACCAAATTCACAACAACCCCTTATGTAGCTACTTGACCAGTTTAAGCGGAAAGAAAGTGTAACAGGCAACAGGGAGGAATACAGTTATAAAATGGAGGAAATAGGAGACTACATCGACGATAATTAGCAAGGAGTTCGGAATCGACCGAACACAACATATCATCACCATAAACCCCAACATTCTTTCATCGAAGCATTATCATTTAAAATGTCAACAAAATTAGAAAATTGTTCAAACAAAATTAATTCTAATTCCTAAACAAAAATAAGACTTAAATTACATAGACGTGAAAAAAAATTAAACACGCTTCCTTATACGTTCGATAAACGCTCCGGGTTGCTTGATGGAAGACTGCAGCAAGGTTTCGAAACCCCTTCACACTAGATCTTTAGGACAATGCCGGCTCTACTGCGTGACCTTTTGAATCGGAAAATACGGGGTGAATGGTCGAACACAGTCGAAATCGATATGCCACAACCTTCAGCCAACAAAACCACAAATTCCGGCAACAAAGAGGAAAATTTACTCCATGCGAATTGAACTACATGTTCTATGACCAAGTTCCTTCAATAGATTAGAACTTAGAAGAAGAAAAGAAAATTTTTCTATTGATTTGTACAAAATATTGGTACAATTCACTATACCCAGATCTAGAATGGAGTTTTTCTTGATAATTGGTGTATGACCGTATGAATGAAGGAATGAATTTGGGGAAGGAATAGATGAAATCATCAATAATGTAGTGAATGCTCCCAACGCTCACGAGCCATCTGAATTATTCTGTTACTTTTCAGCTTTTACTGTTTGGAGAATATGGCCGTTGATAAAATCCATAAAAAATGATACTATTTTAATTGGAATGGACCAAAAAATAACGGGCCAAACAAGTCTGTGTTAAAAAAAACCTAAAAAAATTAGAGTAAAAAAGGAATCAAACAAGGCCTCAGTTTTTTAAGTGGTCGATTTGTCAAAAGTTTAGGGTTTCACTTTGTTAATAAACTAAATCTGTGGAAAAATTTGTGATAATGCATAATTAGAAACAGGATAAAATTGTAAAAAAACAAAAACAAAACAAAAAAAAAAAAAAGAAAAGGAGAGAGAGAAAAATCTAGTCCTTATTAAAACCCGCTTAAACCCGCCCGTTGACAGAAGCTAAACCAAACGAGCCTTTCACTTATTGTGAGAGAGAAACTCCCTACATTGAAGTCGAGCTAGGGTTTTTCTTCTTCACCGAAGGGTTTTCAGGTACTGTTCGGCGACGTCAATCTCGTTTTCTCTTGGCAGGAACGCGCAGAAAGATTTTCGATTATTGATATTTGATTTTGATTCGAATCGATTATTTGTCAAATCGATTTTCTCGTTTCGTTGGCAAATTTAACAGATCTATGAACTTATACTGAAGATTGCAGTTTTTTTTTGGTGTTTCTTGTTTTCCACCTCGGCTGTTGAAATTCTTTGTGTTGGAGATTTTTTTGATTTCTGGATTTCTGTACTTCAGCGGTCTTTTGACGCCCATGCTTGTAGAGTTTGTTTTTGTTTTTTTTTAATGTAAATTTCTGATAGACTTTTGTATGCTTTTTTGCATTACTAAATTGAATTGTACGATTTGTGATAGGGTTTCGGTTGAAGATGTCGCGTGTCTATGTTGGGAATTTGGATCCGCGAGTCACTGAGCGCGAGCTTGAAGATGAATTTCGCGTCTTTGGTGTTATTAGAAGGTAAACAACAGATCAATCATGTTTTTTGTTTGCTTTTGTTTTATGTTGATCACAGACATCATTAGCTTATTGGAGGATATCTTTTATGTGCATCTTTTGTTGTGATTGTTTTACCTAAGCTTAAAGGCAGACAGAGCATTTGGCATGGAGTCATTAATAGTACTTTATGATTTCACAGCACCTGTGAAATTATGATGTACACTAGCTTGCATTGAATTGCATCTGAAACCATCAGTGAAACTGTGGGCTGAAATTTTATGTCAACCTAGCAAGGGGAAATCTTATTTTGAAGGACGAAGTCATTGTATGTTCTGCGTATTTTGTGTTTTGTTTGATTTTGAGTTTGATCGTGTATTCTATCGAAATAGATTTATGGTTGTTTTTGGACAAATTTTATATTTGGCGTATTAGAGCTCTGGACTTGGTTATGAGTTCATTGTTCTCCTTTGGATTCTGATGCAGTGTATGGGTTGCAAGGAGGCCTCCTGGCTATGCATTCATAGATTTTGATGACCGTCGTGATGCTCAAGATGCGATTCGAGAAATTGATGGTAGGACTGCTTCATGGTTTTTATATGTTTAAATTGGTGTATATTAATTTTGTGCATATCAATGATGTAATGACCTAGCACGATGGCTACATGATCCATCTAGCCAAACCCCACCTAGTGGGAAAAGGCTTCTTGTTGTAATGTGTGTTCGACTCCTAGTTTTATGACATCTTGGAACAGGTAAGAATGGATGGAGAGTTGAACTTTCTCACAACTCCCGAGGTGGTGGTGGTGGTGGACGTGGAGGGGGTCGTGGTCGGTCTGGGGGTTCTGACTTGAAGTGTTATGAGTGTGGTGAGCCTGGTCATTTTGCTCGTGAATGCCGTACGCGTGGAGGTCCTGGAACTGGAAGACGCCGCAGTCGCAGCCCTCCTCCTCGATACCGGAGGAGTCCTAGTTATGGACGGAGGTGATCTCTAACCATAACAATTTTTTAAGTAAATCCAAAGCATTTTTTATTTCTATGAACATTTTCTGAAAACGAGGAAATTTAAAGAATACAGAATTCTGTTAGAATTACATGGGACCAGATGCATTCATTTAATGCATTGTTTTTTCATCATAATTTGGTGGATTTTAATTGGGTTTATCAATGTAGGAGTTACAGTCCTCGTGGTCGATCCCCTAGACGCAGGAGTCTCTCTCCCCGTGGACGCAGCTATAGCAGATCTCCGCCATATCGCGGACGAGATGAGTTGGCTTATGCTAATGGGTATAACACTTTCTTTGCATTAGAACTTGTTTTCATTTGGGGATTGATTGGATAGCACTGCTTTAGCTGTCCATTTGGTTTTCAGTGGATATGCTCATGTGGGTACTTGGGTTTGCATAGGTCAGACAAATTTTGTGATAAGAACCGGAATAATAATGTGACTAAGTTTTCAAGTTAGGAAGAGAATCTCAGAACATAGTTTCCTCATCATTGTCGGCTTGATTAGAATCCATTTCTTTTGATTGTTTTGAATGTACGCTTGGGTTCACTGATTCTGATGCTAGTACAGGAAACAGTAATAAAGGAACTTTTATTGTGTTCTGGAAAACCAATTAAATCATCAATTTCGGTGAAATGAGTTGATATGTTTGTTGGATTAGCTTTAGTGTTATTGTCTACATGGTCTACAGTTGCATTTTGGGGATTTGAAATGTGGAAAGTTGCTCTGGAAATATACAGTACGAGGTTCTATAGAAAATTTGTTTTGATAGATGTAATGCTGTTTGTGAAGTAGGAAATGAAATGCAAGCATTTTCAAATGTGTTTCGGAAGTGTAAATAGTTGTCTGGGGAATGGGAAACAGGATGGTAAAGTAAACACTGCTGGTCGTACTAGTTTGTTTTGGAGTTTTCCTAATCTTTTTGCTGCATCCAATTCTTTGGATCCTTATCAGCTACCATGAACATGAATGAAATTGTTTGAAGTCAATAAGATTAGATGAGTTCACCAAGGTCTGTGATTTTCTAAATTGAAGATTGTTTATATCTGCCATGAATTTTGAAATTCTTGATTTGATTGTTTGATGCACGATGGCAAGTAATAATATAATTTGAACTTTTTTTCTGAATTTTGCAGAAATGGTGTCAGGGACAGGCGCAGAAGCAGGAGTTAAATCTAGCAGAATTGGTACCTGACTCAATGCAGAAGTCTTCCATTTGTGTTTAGAAATGCTTGGAATTAGTAACATCTCTGTAATTGAGGTCATGCCCTCAGCTTCTTCTCATGCATTTCATTAAGTTCGTTTCTTTCATGCTTCAGTTTTTAGTTGGCTCCATTATTGGCTTTTGCCTAACTCCCTAGAAATAGTTTATCATAGATATATATGGATATGGATGCTATGTTTGCTATATTTTGTGGAAGCCTGGGATTTAAAGAAGTGCTAAATATTTATGCTTTTGTTTTGTGTGGAGGTGTCTACGTGGTTCTGCTTCATTGGTTTTCTGCTTCTACACTCCCCCTGTTGGTTTCGTTCTTCACTGTCCTGCTGGGGGATCTTCCAATTTGAATGATTGTGGATTGGATCCCTCCTGGCTGCGTCACTAGATGCGTCTGTTTGATTGATTCTGCGGCTATGTCACTTCACCTCTCTAGCTTCTGTTTCATTCATTCTGCGGCTATGACACCTCGCTTCTGTAGCTTCTGTTTCATTCATTCTGCGGCTATGACGCCTCATCCCAAATCTTAGCGGTAGATCTTTAGATACAATATTGAAGAGCGGCAACAAATACAGGTAATTTGTTGTATAGTTGGGTTTGCTAATCATTCTGAAGCCACGTGAAAAATTTTATTGACAACATAATTTTGTTTGCTATAATTTGAATGCCCACATAAAAGATCCATCCTGCCATACAAATAGCCCAAAAGAGTTCTCTCAAATTTGCACCGTCTATTGTAGTATTCTTGTTTACTTTCTGGTTTGAGTACCCTTGTTTTCTAGGCAAAAATTATCTAGCATCCTACACCTTTTAGCCCCTTTTCCAACAAAAATGAAGCACTGGAGGAACTAAGGATCCGAGGCTCAATAATGAGAAATTCGTTGGGATAGCTTTTGCCTAAAAGATATTGTTGATCTTGCTTGATCTTTGATCATTGTTCTTGCTTCCATTCACAGGATTTTACCCCCCGTTGTTTGTGTTTTTGGTCATTTTTGGGAACTATATTTATCCATGTTCGCTATTGTTCTTTGATGAATCTTGTTTGGGTGAAATTTAAATGGTCTGTTGGAGGTTAAAAGGAAAGGGTCTGAAATATAAAGTATCATCGTCGCTTCATTTATACCCCAGCAGAATTACGTATGCACCTATACCAAGATCTCAATGAGTTATTGAGATTGTCTTCTAGCATGTAGGCTTTTTTAATACTATTATTATTATGTGTGGTTGACTTTTAAATGGCACCATAGCTAGTAGCTGTATACTGGCTTTGTTCTCCTGTCGTGGGGAGTGTATCGCTGAGCTATTATGTAACAACTGTAAATATTTTATGCTGGCTTTTTTTAGTTCTGAGCATAATTGTTTTTATTTTATCTATATGGTGTTTCTTGCTTTTGTCATCTGATCTCAGATCTTCAAATGAATGGAATAAGAACACATGAGAGACACTGTATTATCCAAAAAGAAGGAAAAAGACTTGATATTGCATGATCCAGTGTATTTTCCCTTTACACTTGAAAGTTTATTCTGTATGACGTGCTATTGTAGTTTTTGGATGGACCTTTCCTTTTAAGGTTTCCGAGATGCCTTACTCGGAATATAACGTGTATTCGACTCATATGCTCCGAACCTGTTGAATTCGAGTCCACTCTGCTTGATCCTCCTATTTATTACTCCCCTTTGGAAAAAATAGTTCATGTTTTGTTTTGAGCTTTGTTAATATTGCGTAACAAGTATAGAACTTTACAATGGCTCAATTTTGTTTCAATGTAAGTTGAACTTCACTCACTTCTGACGGGACGAAAAATTGACTTCGTTAATATTGTAACGGACGGTTCAACTCAAACTTTACTCACTTCTGATGGACTGAAAATTGACCTTTTTCTTGGATGTAAGAGATTACAAAGGGAGTAAATGCTTCGAAGTTATACAGTTAAAAACCAACCGAGAATTTTTGCGTAAGAACCAAGCTTTTACACAGGGTGTTCCATGAAATTGAATATGGTGGGTTTAAGGTGTTTATCCATTGTACATTGAATTGTTTGACTAATTTCAGTTAGCACATTGAATTGCTTGGTCTCAGTTCTTTGTTGTGCGTGATAAAATTATTAATTAAGAAAAAAACTTGAGATTATATCTTTCAAGCAAAGTTGTACAGAGGCTTCCCTGCATCGCAAATGAACAAATACAACAAATGGATTGCTTAATTTTGAAAGCTAAGCTTCCCTCATCCTATCGTACACAAAAGGCAGTTGTACACCAAAACTAAAATAAACAATGGCCTACACCCCCGATCTTAATAACCTAATAGTGGAAGAGTACAAAATATGTCTACTATTTACCCCTTCCTCGGCTTCTTCTGGTATATTTGCCAGGTTTTTTTGGCTCTTGTTTAACGACCAAGCCATCGTCTGTCACCTTATCAGATTTAGATTGGGTTAGCGTCACACTAACCTCCTCATGGAGCACGCTTGAGACATTTTTTGATACATCAACAATGCCATTAGTTCCATCAACAATTGGCACTTCAACAGACGCCTCACTCAAAAGTTCACACACATCTTCGACTTGGCAATTCGTAGCATTTGTGATGGCATTCACAGAACTAGAGTTGCCCTCATCTGGTTGCTGATAAATATCTCCTGCACCAGCTTGTGCAGCGAAGTTCCTTTAAATATGAAATAAAACTTCAGTTAGCGAATTTGCAATCAACAAACACAAGGAAAGCAGAATAACTATTCTTTTACCTAGCTTGTGAAACATGAACACCATTGGCATTTTGCTTAACTTGGGGTTCCGTGACACCTTCAGCTTGAGGAACTATTCTCTGACTTGACCTCGGGTCTGTTGATGGAAGATGTAATATACGTTACATACAGAGAAATGCTAGATTTAAGTTTCAGCCAACACAAAAAATGGTACAGTTAAAGACATTCCCTAGACTTCTTATTACTCCACATCAACTGCTACACATTATCATCAACGATTGTGGCACAAAAGCAAATTCAGTCCACATAGGAGATGGGTGATTCTTCACGCTCAATACAACTTGGAAAGGCATTATGGACAAAATAAGAGCCTTAAAAAACTCAGGAAAAAGTTCCAGCACATACGCAGCACACTTGCAACACCAGATTGTGTGACGAAGTTCAAATGTTCAATAAATCAGTCACTCCCTCTTGCCAAAAAAAACAAATACTACTATGAACAAAAATTAAAATAAGGACGAAAAGCATTAATTAACGGAGAATGCTCCCCCCCCCCCCAAAAAAAAAAATCCATTATAGACTCGACTATCCATCCAAAGATTCTCGTCATCAATCTATGCAGTAGAAGAATGGGTTTGCAACATACATGTCTAATAACATTGTATTACAAGTCTAAAATAAGAGAAAAAATTTACATCATGACCATCTAGAGAGATCCGTTTCCTCGACACCAATATTGAACTGCACATAATTAATCACTCACTCAAATGATACTTGTCCACAAAATTAATTCGAAATGATGGATTCATGCCACACTAAATAAATAACACCACCTGTTACTTGGTATAACTTTTTATAATACCTAATAATTAGTTACAGTTTTGCCTGAAGATAAATGATCCTCCAATTAAAAACTTTCTAAAAGAAAACCTTCAGAAGCACTTTGGAATTCAAGCAGTTGAAAAAAAAAAAAAAAAACCTTTGCACCTCTGATCCCTAAATGGAACCCAGTTCAGATAACATTCTCAAGCCACAGACATTTGACAGAAAAAGAGCATGAAGACTCAACAGAGAACATTCCCGACATTCTTTGCAGTTAACTTCCACGTGTACAAGAGAAGACTGTTGCATACCATCACAAGGTTCTGTGCCATTATTCAGATGGGCAGGGGTTTTTGACTTAATACCAGCATGTTCACCAGCCATCTCGACTGCTACATTCTTCAATATTAGAGAGAGAATAAAAATCAAACACATAATTACAATAATTCAAATCAAACAGTAAATTGCACATAAATCTATTACATGAATTTTTTATTGAGAAGGCCTATGCTAAAAGATAAGCCACGTAATTATTCTAAAACTTTTTACCTGAAATTCTTCAGAAGAAAGAAGAGATGGAGTTCTCAATGTGTCATTTTCGGTACTATCTATTCTCAAATCCACACCTGACAAAAGAAGACTCTTTCAGTCTCATGGGACTTATTTATTGCATTTCTACAGGCAAAAATTTCCAGAATTGGCTACAAAGTAGAAAACTAATCAGAAATATTACAAACCCGAAGTCCCATGTGAACTACTTAATTCAGTGGCTGTAGTTCTTGGAGCATCAGTTACTTGATTATCCGTCACCAAGTCAACCATATTACCTTCCACCTTCCCACAAACTGGTAAATCAACTGCAGACTGCTTGCCAAATTTAAGTATTGTCTGCAATGATGATCGATCAACATTTGTGGAAGGTGGAGAGCTTAGCATATCCTCTGAAGCCTTTGACCGCAGTCTCCTTAATTCCTCCTCAATATTCCACGAACCTGATGCACGAGAGTTCCTTTTCTGCCACAGAAAAACCAAGCTAAATGAAAAACAAGACTTTATTTTGTGGAATTGTATTCTTCAGACTGCCTATGTATTGAAATAAGGGGTCAGGTAATGGACCATTTAAGAGAGCCGGGGGCAGGAGGGTGGGTGTTGTATATTTGTGGAGAACATTTTCAAAGAATATATGGAGGAATTTGACAGGATTTCAATCTACAGTTTAAATTCCAAGTAAATGAAAGATCCTAATACCTATTGTTTCCATTTTTTTGTATTTGCAAAGGATCTCAACTTTTCTTATGGATGTTCAAAACAAGCAGAGCCTAGAATATCTGAAGATTATTCATTATCATATTATTTACTGGTTTGAAGTGTGGAAAGGAAGAAGCAGCGGTCATAATAGTCCCATAAAGAAAACATTGCAGAATACTGCTTCTATAAAGCAGGGAAATGGATATTTTGCAAAATCAATAGACATCAAGAGAACATTCAAGTACCTAACAAGAAGAAGGAAATAAAAACCAGTTCAACTTCACTGTAGAGCACTTCTACATCACCAAGTCTCAGTCATTTATTTTGTTTATATACTCATAATGATTTTGAAAAAATAAGAAAGGTAAATAACATTGAATAAAAAGAATTACACTTGGATGATAAGATTCACCATGTCTCCAACATGGAAAATGTATATAAGGAAAATTATTCCACCTAGGTCTAGCACTGAAAGTACAACTTCCCACCTTAGAAGATGGCAATACGCCAACATCAAAAGAAGCAGATGTGCCTTCCCTGAAAAGCTCTCTCGTCAGTGGAAATGGAGTTTGGAGTTCAGTACTTTGTACAAGAGGGGACGTCCAGGGAGTTCGAGACTTCATGTACGACTTGGCATAATCCACCGGTGAGCCTGTGTCAATCTCAAACTGCAAGAAAAGAAGAGGCAGGATACCATGTAATACTGCATCAGTCTCCAGAGACATTCAATTAAAAGCACTTTTTAAAGACTACTGTTCTTTTATGTTTGAAAGTCTCTTGCCCTTTACATCAGTTTCTAAATTTGTCACCTGGTATGGTAGAATTCAATTCTAAAGTTAGGATATCCCATAATAACACATTGTGCAGGATATCCAATCAGTAATATGCTTATGGCTCAGTTTTGTCCAATAAATGTCCAAAAAAGGTTGAAGTCTCCAGCAATTAAATCTTAATTGGTACAGGCTACCAAGTCCTCTGTTCTATGCACTTCTAAATGTTGGCTCCATCAGATATACAAAGTTGACACTATGTCAGGCAAGGGTGTGTTTTTCAAAGGCCAAACACATGTGAAAGAAAAAATATCACTCAACATGTGAATTGAACTATTAATTTAAACATGAATAGGTTGAAAATGATTGTATATATTCGTCAAGGTGACAAAATAGCTAAAAAATTAGAACTCTTATAGCACACCAAATACTAAGGCAGGCAACTAAAAGTACGGTTGGACGGGAGAATTTGATGCATGCCAAAAAGAACAAAAAAAAAAAAAAGATTTATGACTAAGAATCTTTAATTGAGCCCAACTTTCGCTAGGATGCGAAGATGAAAGCTAGATGTTAAAAAACCTTTAAAAAGTTTTTAATAAAATCTTTCACAGCAGGAAATTATTAAGAAATTTTAGTTTTCAATCATCAAGGAAATTTCAGTAAAAATAAGAGAGTCGTTGTCATGTGCTATCATACTTTTCAGGGCTTTCACTGTTACACTTAGACACGCGACAGTAGAGGTCAATCTACAACTGGTCAGAGTATCAGGCCATGCTACAACCATTTTAGCAGCAGCATTGAAACCCTTAAATTAGTTCTATCCTTCTCCATACACTACCCTTACTAGTCTTTCCTTTTCTCTCCAAACCTCTCTCCAAAAGAAAAGAAACACAAGATTGCAGTTTCTTCTTTTCTGTTCTTTTAGTGAAAAGAAAATTCTTTCCGTTTCTCTCCTACATTTCTTTTCTCCTAAAGGAGTAAACCAAGATTGTGATCTCTTCTTTTCTCTTTTATTCAAATGTCATAGTCATATTTTCATTATTTCCATCCTTCCCTCAACCAAACCCAAAATGAAAGCCATCGACAAAAAGACTTTTTGCATTCCTTGACAGTATCTAGAGTTTCGACTTTCAAGTAATTGGAAGACTTAAAACCCCAATATTTGTTTTTATCCTTATTCACAAAGTGCCCTCATTGTCAACAAGTTTCAACCTAGAATCACATGCTTTCCATAACTAACATGCCTTATGCGAAGCCAATAAGCACAAAATTTGCAAATTATTTGAAACATGATAAAAACGAAGACTAACTTGTTGGAAAACAGTGTTTAAGGTACGGGATTTATGAGCCAAGTCTGACTGTGGGCTAGATCCAACTTTCTTTTCTTCCAGCCATTTCCGAGCTTCCTTAACTGCTTCAGTACATAGATCAGCGGCATCTGTAAAGTACAACGTGTACAATTTATTAGGGACAAGTGCGGGTATACAAACAATCTAAATGCAGTTCAGATTTCAGAAAGGTAACCGAGACAGATACCATATTTAGCGTTAGCAACAGGTACATCAACACGCGTTGAATCTGCTACCTCCCCACCTACGGGATCCAGGACACGAGATTCAATAATCTGTACAAGTGCATCACCCTCTTGCCTGGAACATAAATATAAATAGACAGTGATGTTCCACAATAAGGTCACATTGTGGGAGAGAGAAAGGCGAAGAGTTAGTTTGCTACTAAACCTACTGCAAGAAAATGAGCAAGTGTCTATCTGCCATGACAATTAGAAATGAACATAAAGAAACTTTTGCCCTATACTTAATTTACTGTATCAACTAGAGACTAAGGATTTGTGTCTGCAAGTAGAAACACATAAAAATAAATCAAATTTCAAGCTCCGACGTAAAATGACTTGATTTACGGAGCCAAAGAATGTCACTATGCGAAAAAGAAAGTTCATATATATAGTTTGATGTTGCTGACACAAATTCTGAAGAAAATAGACTTAAAAGAATACCACACACAAGACAAACAAACAACTCAAAATAAGACGTGCAAGCAAGTCATGCAGTAAAAGAGAAATCTTCAATGACAAAAAATTAGACACCTCCTTTACCTTGAGAATCTCTCCTGCATAAGCAACCTCGCAATTGCACTCTTTGTCACACTATTAAATAAAGTAAGTTGAGGCTCCTTATTCCTTCCATCTGATGAAATCATGCACTCCTGACATCAAAGTAGTTCTTTATCATCCAAATTAGCCTTGAAAACACAATTTAACAGGCGACAAAATCAACCAGATTTCACATTTCATACAGAACAGATACCAGAACTGGCAAACAAAAGACACATAAGTCATAGCAAAATGGTGGAATACTTGAAAGATGCAATGCAATAGTGATCCAAAATAACCCATACAGACTGAAATACTATTTTGATTTTAGGTTGGAGCTTATGCACATCTGATATTTTTACTTGATGACTGCTTCAGGTGATACTTGAAAAAAATAAAAAATAGTCCTTTACAACTAGCCATCTAAAACAGGCAGACCAAGTGAACCAAAATGCAAATTGCAAACAGATGTGGTTAACTTATATTGTATAATACTTGAGAAGAAACTGAGTGGCCACACATGCCCATGAACTATTATTGTTGGTTAAAATTTTCATTGGGCCTCATAAATCCATAGACAAAGATACCAAAGATTCCTTCGGATCAGTTTATTGAGTTATAACCAAAAAGAAAGCAAACCACATTGAAATAATAAAATACGTGCGCTGAGAGAGTGCAGCAAGCATCCAGGACTGAGAAGCTTAACCCCAAACCACTTGCATCTTGGAGTCTTTTGGGCCTCATAATTAGCGCAAAAGTAACGTTTCAGAACTACTTAAACCATGTTTAGCTCAGGTTTGACCAAATTTACAAGCCATGGTTTATAGTTTTGAATCCGTTGGCTAAACATTTTTGTATTATTTATTGTGTGTTGACCATGTAAGGGACCTTTTGGAAGGTTTTCAGATTTTTTTAGCCCAATAACTGCTAGAAATATTTCTATTTATAAAAGTAATTTAAAACTACATAGGGCGTCGATTCTAAGTGATTCTCTATCTAGTTACGATGCCAAATTTGTGCTTTCTTCCTGTTGTATTTCGGCAACTCATAGTCAGCTCTAAACATAAGAAAGTTAAAGAGAATTTAGATGAATAAAATTGTGAGAAGTAGTTCCTTTCTTTGAAAGTCATTTAATAGGTCCAGTTTCAAATAATTTTGCTAGATTTCAATATTGCTATTCTCTTTTAACTTATCAATTGCGTTTCAGCCACGTAACTCAGGAGACCTCTTCGCTTATCTGATCACCTTCTTTAACAATTCAAAGGTTTCTTTAATATGTTCTTTTGAAAAGAATTCCTTTAATATGTAATATTGTTTGAGCTCATAATTAAGAAATTGAATAGGTGGAAGACTTTGTATCTATGTTACATGGCAGTTATATTACATGGAACAACATTTATATGCAAATAATAAAGGATTACTAACTCCAATAAAAGATGGGGATGGAAAGACCAAAAAAGACTTGGAAACTATTTAAAATAGTCAAAGTCTCAGTGAAGTCCGAAGATGATGGCAAAATATCATCCCTATAGCGAACTCCACAGACAATGAGATAAAACCTTAAGTTGGTGTAATTCTCCATATTCAGAACTACATTGGTATACACGATTTTCACATGAGTAATTTACGGACATGCAGGTTGCAACAAGTAGTATACTTTCCTTTGCTCTACCCAAACCTCCCCGTTCTCAACCCAGGTATAAGACCAAGTTAGAACCATTTCTCATCTTATAAGGGTGAGTCCCAAAGTACACTGAACAGTAAAAGTTACCTTGTTTAGCTGCCCAACATCATCTGGTGGACCATTATTATCTTCATCAGCAACGTTCTCTGAAAGAAAAGTAATAATGTTGTCACTGGGGTTTTGAGCATGGGAAACAAAACATTTCAGCAGAGTAGATAAATTAATATGCATGAGTAAGACGAATCATCTTAGAAGAGAGAAAGAGATGCAGATGAAGACCCAAAGAGTACTGTTTCCTTTTTTAGTGTGTGTTTATAAGTGTTTTTTTGTATTGGGAATGTAAAAAGGTGTATTGGAAATGTAAAAAGGTATGCCGGGATGGGACAGTTATTAATATTTAATTCTGAAAAAATGTAGTGGAAATGGAAACAAACAGAGCCTTATATTCTGCTTCTGAGCGTAAGGGAGGCTCATAGAGAAGAACCATAAACTTTGAAGACATTAGTTAGACTACCAGCAGCGTGATATAATACAAACTTTAAGTCGCTTCCAAGTACTGAAATTCTGCTTCTGTGCAGAAGGGAGGCTTTTAAAGAAGAATCACAAACTTTGAAGACACTTTTTAGTCTAACAATAGCATAATATTTCAAGTCACTTCCAAATATTTAAAGTCACTTCCAAAATTTCAAGTCTAACAATGTAATAAAAATTTCAAGTCACTTCCAAATATTTAAAGTATCTTATAAGAGCCAAAGTTTAATTCTTCTCATCCTAAACAGGAATTCTGAAACCAATAGAGGAAGTTAAAGCAGATATAAAAAAGCAGATGGAACCACTATGATATCTCAGGCAGAAGCCGGCTACAAAAGCAGTAGCACAAAACAACCATAAATCTGTATTCTAGTCACACCGTTAGCAGGTGCAAGGCTCAAAGATGGTGTTAAGATCTCTCCGAATCCCTAACATACAATTGATATTTATTATGATAATGAAAACAAGAAATAGATGAATACATGAGCAACAAATGCGTCATCATGAGAAATGTCAAAGGAAACAGGAATTTTTTTACAATTTTAGCGGCATTCTCTAACTTGGATAATGTGGTTCCTGCAAACAACAATGTCTAAGACTTTCCCATAACCAGTCCAAATATTGGCAAAAGAGAAGTCACCTACCCCATGCATATTAATTAGGAGGAAATAATGTGTCACATGTTATCATATTGCACTGAAGTAACTCAACTGATACACTACCTAGATACATTTGTTACTTTAATTAATACATAAATGTTCCAAGATCATAAAACTGGAATTTCTCTTATCCCATAACAATGGCGAAAAATATAATATTTTATTAACAATGATTAAAGCAGCAACCTTTTATCCATTTCTTACAGACTATTGAGCGTAAAAAATTGCATGTAACAAAAGGTACGAATGGAAATCCCTAAATTTAAACCCAACATGAAACCACACAACAGACTCGGACATCTCACCCATAATAATACCTACAAATGAACAGACGTTACATACCCTACAATATGAAAAAAATAAAAAATAAAAAAATATACAGATACATCAACATTCTATGAACGGATGCATGAATTTGCTCAAGTTTATTGCGATTACTAACTTTGAACAAAAGGCAGAAAACATAACAGCTTACTAAATAATTAAGCTGCATCTTCTCTCCATTTTCAGATAATTATCCATGTAGCAACTAATATCTAACAATAGCATGAAACCACACAACAGTTAAAATACCTAGACAAAGATGATAAATGTAGTTACATATGTACTTTGCATGCCCTTCAGCAACAAAAGTATAAATACATAACTTTCCAAGAATAGATGGCAGGAATTTGTTCTAGTTTCTTCCTCTTATACTTATAACATTAATGAACAATTAAAAGGGCATTTTCTCTAAATTTGAGCATATGATTGAGGATTCAAAGTAGCATCTATCAAGTCCAACATACAAACACAGAAGACAAACCAAGTGTCCAGGTCCATATTACACAGAGTTACTAATAACTATAAGAAAATACAATGAAGCCCGTGAATAAACAAGACAGTGCACCATACAAATTGATCTCGACATGATTATTATCTAGCAATAAACAAATAAACTAAAATACTATTTACGACCCTAAATCTGTAATGTCACCTTGAATTGCAAAATAATTTCTAGAAAACCTTTGGTTCGGAAGGCATTTGGTTAGCAATTTGCAGGAGAACACAGAAGTTACCTTTTTATCATATAAACACTGCTACAATCAACCAGGCTACCTATAATTGGCAAAATTTACAGTTGCTTTTGTTTACAGACCAAAAGGCTCAAATAACTCAAGAAGTAATCCACAGAAGAAATTGCTCAAAGTACATGCAAGAAAGAACCTCCAGCAGTTGTAATGAACAAAAACATTTGGCCATTCAAAATGCACCAAATCAAAGTGTTCACCCGCTCACTGCACAATTCAAGTTCATACACCTAAAATTCAACCTTTCACAGCTCACTACAATTTCAATTCAACTTCCTTAATTCCGATGCATACATCTCAACCCCTACTATGAAATACTTAACACAGTTCCAGAGTTCCTCAATTGAGAAATTAGGGCAAAGAAACGCAACCAGAAGAAATTTCGAAAAAATAAATAAATCAAAGAGAATGCGCGAGGTATACCTAGGTCGCCTTCGCCTTCGCCTTCGCCTTCGCTGTCGGATGAAGAAGATGATGAAGAATCAAAGACGGAAGAAATCATCTTAACTGCACCGGACGCAATCATACGAGTAGCAGGGAATATGACCCCGGTGAGCCAATTAGGGCTTCCATGAGGCACCTCCTGCCCTGGAGGAGGAGGAGGAGGGCGGTCGTACGGGGTGGTTGCACTTCTCCTCCACCTTTTCTTGATAATTTTCCCACCGGATCGACCGCCGGCGGGTAGGTCGGAGCCAGAGACGGTCGCCATGGGAAGTCTGCGGGATAGAGAGAGATTTGAAAATGGATGTGGTTCCTACCTGGCTTGAAAGTTGAAAGACCTTTTGTTCCGTAAATAAATGAAATAGTACTATAATAATTGGGTCGAACTATTGAACGCCCTTATTTTTTCATTTGAGCGCCCGCGAAAGACCAATACGCCCCTGAAAATGGAGGTATGTTTTTTTTTTTTCGGGAAAATGGGGGATTGGCGAGGGAGAAACGCGCCAGCCGTTACGTTAACGGCTGGCGCTGAAGAAACACGCCATCCCCAAAGGGGATGGCGTGCAATAAGCTCGCCTCTCCTTACAGGGGAGGCGAGGCAAGCCTTCGCCAATGGCGAAGGCGGTGGCGCCATATTCGGCGCCACCTCTATCAAGGTTGGCGAGCAAATCGCCGTGTTGGTGGCGCCCAAACGGGCGCCAACCAATTTTTTTTTTTTTATAAATTTTTTAATATATTTAATATTTATTAGTTTAAAAATTATTATTATTAGTTTAATAAATTTAATTAATTCATGTATTTAGTTTATTTGAGTATTTGTTTTGTAGTTTAATATATGTTTAGAAAATTAGGGTTTATGTTAGATATTTAGATAATGTTTTTTAATTACGTATACTGTTATATGTTAATTACGTTGTATGCTCGTAAGAAATACTTTGTTTCTTGTTAAATGGGTATTTAGGTTAAAAATTATTATTATTAGTTTAATAAATTTAATTAATTCATGTATTTAGTTTATTTGAGTATTTGTTTTGTAGTTTAATATATGTTTAGAAAATTAGGGTTTATGTTAGATATTTAGATAATGTTTTTTAATTACGTATACTGTTATATGTTAATTACGTTGTATGCTCGTAAGAAATACTTTGTTTCTTGTTAAATGGGTATTTAGGTTGTATGTTAATGCGTATAGTTGTTAGGGATTAGAATATTTGTTAAAATAATGAGTTTTGATTAATAATATTTTTAATTAGTTATTAGTATATATTAATTATCTCTAAAGTAAAAGATCATTATATCGGATTCTATAACAATGTTTACTCATATGAAATTAATTGTGGTTTAACAATGTTAGAGTTAACTTAAGTTATGATATAATTTGTTTTTAATGTATGTGTGCGAATAGTTTTGATCGGGGATGGAATCGATTATAGTGCGGCTTTTGCTACGAGACGAGACTTTCTCAACGAACACGGAAGCTATTGAATATGCGAAGGGTATTGCGAACATCTACAATATGGTGTTAAGTATATCCTCGCATAAGGGTAATAGTACTATACTCCTTTGTCATAAAGGGCGGTACCAAGGTGAACAAGTGGATGAAGACGTGCGGGCCCGAGCTAATACAAAGACACGGATGACCGGATGCTGGGTTTCAGACACTACTTACAAGATGTATGATAGGTGGGCAATCCGTGTATATCCAGTCCGTGGGAATGCACAACCATTCATTGAAAGATCCACCTCGAGTCGGAGGCCATTGAGTATCAAGTAAAAGAGCTTATTAAAGAGTACTCCAAATGGGACTAAGGCAGTCCACATTTTACGGCGATATGGACACAATTTCCCGATGAAAATGTAACCGCTAAACAAGTCTACAACTACGAAATTTTTGCGTAAGGCGGGGTTTCCAATTCTAGATGACACATGCGCCATGGACGTAGTGGGAAAGGTGTTAGAGGTCGCGAACAAAGACAAATACATCATCTTCACGGAGTGCGATGAAGAGACACAGAGGTTATCCCACGTCTTTTTCGCACATCCGGATTCTTTGTTGTTATTGCGGACGTATCCTTGGGTTGTTTGTGTAGATTCCACATACAACACAAACAAATATAAACTGCCTCTTGTGGAGTTTGTTGGAATGACCCCTTGCAATCAGACATTCCTCATAGCATATGCCATTCTGAGTGATGAGACAGGGGAAAGCTACCATTGGGCGCTGTGGCAGCTCCGTAACTTGTATGGCGAAGATATGCATCCGAGTGTCATCGTGATGATCGCGAACTCGGATGATGAGGCCTCTTGATGATGTATTTCCATCTTCACATCACTTATTGTGTACGTGGCATGTTTACAGGGATGTTGAAAGAAATGTGAAAAGATTTTTTAATGGAAATGCTCATACAGCAAAAAGTTTCGCGTATAATGCCTTCAAAGCAGTGATCGAAGCTGAAACCAGAGACGCATACGAAGAAAAAGTGCGTTTCGGAGCATAATTGGATCCAATTTCGTGCCGTTATACGGTATGTTAGGAACACATGGTTAGTGGTGTCGCACAAGTTTGTGCGTGCATGGACCAACACTTATTTGCATTTTGGCAACACCACTACCTGTAGAGTGGAGAGCGCACACAAGTTGTTAAAGGAATGGCTCGTCATTCCAAATGCTTCTTTTGAAACGGTGTGGCACAGGGTTCACATGTTACTGGAGACACAGCTTACTCAAATAAGGTACAGGCCTGTTGATCCCTTTTTAGTTAATTTGTGTGTTTAGGTTGTTTAATTAATTTTTTTGAATTCCTGTACAGGGAGAAATTGCAAGAATCAAGGCAGAAAATAGGGAGGCAACACAACAAGTACCCTTTCTACCAATTAAGATGCAATGTTTCACACCACTGCTTGGATCTTTTGAAAAATGAATTAGAAAGGATGCAACAACTCGGAGATGATGTATATTGGGAATGCAATCATTACCTGAAACAAACTCATTCCATCCCTTGTGCATGTATACTTAAGCGTGTAATGGAGGCCAACGATATTTTAACTCCAAAATACTTACACCAATTTTGGAGCACACTTGACATCGGTGAGGTTACGAGAGAAGGATGGTTCGGATGATGTTCCTCCTCGCGCATTGTTGTTCAGCCGCTTAGTGGAAGAATTGAACGCTGGCGATGAGCCTATACGGCGCGAGATCACCAGATTGATGTACAACAAACTCCACCCGGCCAAGCAGATTAAATGAACCGCGGGTTGGAAAGAGAGGCAAGGGCGGACCGAAGAAGAGGGCATCTCTAAAAAAGGCAAGACAAACCGAATGTGTGGGCATACGGGGACGGCAATCGTGGTGGCACGAATACCGGCGGTTCCAGAAATCGGGGACGAACACCCATAGTTCCAGTAGAGGGCATACGTCGGGAGCTGAAGATCAGAACAGAGGTCCGATATTACTTTCTCTTTTTAAATGTGTGATAAATTATTTTACTTTGTTACTTACCCATGCTACAACAGTCCATGGATGGGCAAGGTGAGACGAACAGCAGCAGTTCCAGTAGAGGCAACAGGTCGGGTTCCGAACCACATGTCGGAGGTAAGTTTATAATTTATATTGTAATACATAATTCAGACTTAATTACTAATACATAATTCAGAAATAATGATATTATTTTACGTGGTTAAAGATGTTATGCGATGATTTTTCCAGTTTAGCCACAAGAATAGGATTCGCAGTACTCCACAATCATGTTCATCATATCTTGATGTCGAGCCTGACGGCAATTGTGGTTTCCGTGTCTTTGCGAGTTGCATGTTGGGCGGGCGAATAATCACATTTTGTGCAGACAGATATGTTATGATGAGGTTATAAATAACCCCGGCCTATATGGGAACATTTACGGGTATGCAACCAGTTTAATGTTGGTGAGCAATTGTCTTCTTGTTATTTTTTTAAAAACTTTCATACCCGTGTCTTTGTGTAGGTGGGACGGATGGGCCGAGAGCCTAGAGCGTATACGGTGGACGGGCACCGCATTAGGTCACCTGGATGTCGACAGATGACTTTTATCCCCTTGCTACATATTTCAATGCGGTTGTGTACTACTTGATGCCGCGGTGCTGAAAATCTAAACGGCTCATGTTGGACTGTGCTACCACCGAGCGCACGAGGCGAGGCAACAAGACTCGAGTTCCGGATAGTTATTTGCCACCTCAATCCTTACCAACACTTCATTCGACTCAATCTACAGGGTGATTTCCGATTCCCCCATTCACCTCAGTTGGAGGCATGATCGTGATAGTAGTGTTATTGGTTGGGATGAACCTTTGAGTCCAGACTACGGCTATGGCGAACTTTGGTACCTCGGATAAGACCCACACGGGCATTTGAAGATCAGGGTGATCTTTTGTGTATATATATATATATATATATTTTTTTGGAAATTGAAGCACGAGATGGTGACGTAAATTAAAATTTAAATTGCAAACAAACATAAGTGCATATTGTTCATAAGTACGTAATCATTGCATAATTGTACGTAATCATCATAAGTAGAATGTCATGGGGCTCGACTGCACCGGAAGATGACATCATCCAGCGAGTATCCCACTTCTCACCTACACCCACATCGAGCTTCTTCAAATCATCGATGCAACCTCGAGTCAACTTCTCCATCTCACGCATCCACTACAAATGTTAAATCAAACCAAATTAATCCCTTAATGATAGTACGTGTATTATTAAACAATGGGTAATTTTGTTAGAGTTGAACTTACGTATGTGGTGCAGTTCTTCCCTAGGATGCGTGATGTAGACATGTACGGACTCCGGCAGTAAAAATGGATGTGAATGGCTCTGTACGGTCGAGGTAATCTACAGTGCTGTCCTACCTCGATGAGACGATACCGGCACACAATGACCGAGGCCGATGCACTCCGACTCCGGAAATCTAACCCAACAGTTACATGTCTCGGCACTAGGACGCTCAACAAAATACTTGTGCGCATTTCTCCCGCGAAACTGAGTAACCGGTGTGAGCGGCGTGCGAGGTATGTACTGCACATAACCGACTGGCGTAGCACTCTCTCCGGCATGTATGGCTCCCGGAAGTCGTGGTACATAATCCACCCACCGAAGATGGTCTGGGATGTCTTTGCACTGATCGCGACCAAATGGCTCCCATTCGACCTGCAAACGTTAGCAACATTTATTATAGTGTAAAAAAATAAATACCCCTTACGTAATATACGGAAATGAAATATAAAGTGTACCTCTTGCTCAGTCATCGCGTCGAGCTGCGTACGAATCTGCTGGAGACGACTATGAATAGGCC